GATGTTCAGCTTGTTGACATCCAAGGGGATCTTGCCGACTGCCTGGGCAGCATCAGTGTGGAAGAAAATCTTCTTCGCACGGCAGAGCTTTCCGATCTCTTCCATGGGTTGAATCACACCAATTTCATTGTTGACGGCCATGATGCTAACCAGAGCTGTGTCGGGTCGCATGGCCGCCTCGAGATCCTCCATCCGGATCAATCCGTTATTTTGAACGGGCAAATATGTGACTTCAAATCCCTCATCTTGAAGATGCCGGCAGCTGTCCAATACACACTTGTGCTCAGTCTGCGTCGTGATAATGTGCTTCTTCTTGCCGGAACGACCAAAGAATCTGGCCACACCCTTGATGCTCATGTTGTTACTTTCGGTGGCGCCGCTCGTAAAGATGATCTCCTTTGGATCCGCCCCAATCAATTTCGCAATATGTTCTCTGGCTTGTTCGACAGCCTTCTCCGACTCCCAACCATACGCGTGAGTCCTGGAATGCGGATTTCCGTAGATACCGGTGAGATAGGGAAGCATAGCGTCGAGAACACGAGGGTCAAGCGGCGTAGTAGCCTGCATATCCAAATAGATGGGCCGTGTCCCCTGATCCATAACAGTTGCTTGTTTCAAAATACCCGCAGAGGGACTCATCGAAGCATCTCCGGAGACGCCAGAGGCGGGAAGTTCGACCTTTCCAGGCTGAAGACCTGTCTGCTTGATGAAGTTCTTCTGCTCCTGTTTGATGGCCGTGTCGATCGAGACCTGAGCGTTTCCAGCTTTGGTCTCGGTAACATATGTCCGTCTCGAAGCTGCACCACCGAAGGTGGCGAGCGCCCGTCTGGGGAAGGACGCGGTCGCCAGGGAGCCATGCTGAGTCGACGAGAGTCGCCGAGCATAGGCACGAGATGCCTGTCTCAAGGCAGATGGTGTAACGCTAGACATGATTTAGATGTTGCTCAACCGTACCATTAATGGCTTGATGGTCTGTTGATAGCAGAGTGGATGACAGCTAAGGAGAAAGGCGCGAATTCGTACGAGTGAGAAAAAGGTTTGGGTCCGGTTATATCATTGCCGCTAAGCCCGATCGGAGCGGAGCAATCAAGATAGCTCGGTGAATTCGCTCGGTCTTTTCCACCGGAATATCAGCCATATTCTGCGGACCATTCTATTGTCCGAAGTATCGTTTTGTCAGGGTATATAATTGTCAAATGGGCAGCATATCTATATTTTTGTCATCAAGTGAGCAGATTGGGAGGGAAGATCTCTTATATAACTTCTGTGGGGAAGAAAGGCAGGATACGGCGAAACGCGATTACCCCGCGGTTGTTTACTCTTCGTCTAACATTTGGAGAAGAGTAGTATGTCAGAGATATTCTCAGGTGTACTCCGTACTCGGAGGTTATTAGAGCATTATTATGCACCATCTGGTCGTTATGGTGCAGATCACTATAGTGATGCCTAATGTTGTAGCACAAGTAATTAGATTCAAGCCAAAGGAACACCAAGCCTGAATAACCGGTGCCTAAACCAGCTCCTAGGGGAGACTCCGGCATTCGGTGTGGTTCTCCGTCGCTGCGCCACACTCGATCAATCGGTATGTTCAGTCACAAGGAACATGTATGACTTCATCATACCACGGTGCACAAATGATCAAAAGAAAATTGGTCTCAGATTAGTCTCGAATTTCATTTAAACTTATTGCTATACCCTATTGATCATTTTATTGTACCAAATACTAAGAGAATCCTACGTTCCTGGTACCTCTCAGCCACACTTACCTCAACAGCATCCTATGTCATAGCTCAGCCACAGCGCCGAGCAGACGAACCACTAGTATATTGGGCTGGGCTGAAGGCTGCAAATCCACTCCAAGCAACAAGAAGGTCGCTTTCCCCCCACTCCTCACTACTGAGCCATTTCTCGCTCTAATATCACTCTTTCTTTGCTGCTCCCTGAGACCCTCGTCCTTTATCCCCCTAGCATCATCTCAAACACACCTAAATCGCCATCATTGTCTATACCGAGCACTTCCGCCCAGGACCTACAGAAGAGACCGCTCCACCAGGAACACCGAGATGAGTTTGAAGGGTTTCCAGAAGAGCATTGTTCGCGCACCGCAGCAATTCAAGGCGCGGTTCAATATTGGCGAACACACCAAGGATCCGATTTATCAAGATGCCGAGCGACGATTTCAAGAACTTGAAAAGGAGACGAAGAAGCTCCATGATGAGTCGAGGAAATATTTTGAAGCTATTAATGGTACTGATTCGAATGGGGGCGATTTTGTTGAGCAAGGTCTGGATAGGAAGATGGACTAATGATCACACAGGCATGTTGAATCACCAGATCGAATTCTCCAAAGCCATGACAGAGTTATATAAACCCATCTCCGGTCGCGCCTCGGACCCGAGCTCATACACCATTGAGGGCAACCCGGAAGGAATTCGAGCTTGCGAGGAATACGAAGCGATTGTCCGCGACCTACAAGAGTCACTTGCGCCGGAGCTAGAGTTGATCGAGACTCGCATTGTGAGTCCGGCAAATCAACTGCTGGAGGTGATCAAGGTGATTCGGAAGGTAGCGGTGAAGCGAGATCACAAGAAGCTAGACTACGATCGACACCGCAGCACGTTGAAGAAACTGCAGGAGAAGAAGGACAAGTCGCTGAAGGATGAAAAGGCCCTCTATAAAGCGGAGAATGACGTGGAGCAGGCCACGCAGGAGTACAACTACTACAACGACCTGCTCAAAGATGAGCTACCCAAACTCTTTGCTCTCGAAGCCGAGTTCATCCGCCCGCTATTTCAGTCGTTCTACTACATGCAGCTGAATGTCTTCTACACACTGCATGAGAAAATGCAGGGCATGAATATCGCCTATTTCGATTTAACTCTGGATGTCGAGGAGGCATTCGAGAAGAAGCGAGGTGACGTCAAAGAACGGGCAGAAGCACTTACCATCGTCCATTTCAAGACGAAGGGTCTGGGCCGACAACCCTCCAAGTTCACACCGCCCGGCAAGGACAAGATGGCGTACGAGAGCAAGAGCACATTCGCCCGCACGAATCGCACCGAGGAGACTGACAACCCTCCTCCACCCTATTCGGCCTCTGCAAGTACTGTTGCGGCTGCCAAGGCCAAGCCAGCGCCTCCGCCACCCAAGCCCAAGCCCGCTCGATTCGGTGCGGCAGTCGAGACGGTTACAGCCTTGTATGACTACGAAGCACAGGCGCATGGTGATCTCAGCTTCTCTGCGGGCGACGTGATTGAGATTATCCAGCGGACGGACAACCAGAACGAGTGGTGGACTGGTAGAGTTGATGGACGAGAGGGCCAGTTCCCAGGTCAGTTCCATCCACTGTTCTTCTTTCTGCCTTAAAGACTAACTTTCTTTTCACCACAGCAAATTATGTCCAGTTGCGTTAGCATATATTTTTCCACTTTCAGCGCTCCTGTCACAATATTCATATCTTCCCCTTTTGATGCTGCTCTCTATTATCGACGGCTCTAAATGAGCTGTGGGATTCCTTTGCACAATTTCTTTGGCTTTCAGCTCCAGCAGCATCGTCAATTTTACGTCGTGTTCTCTATTCATCTCCCTACTTGCTGTCATAGAGCGTCGCGTGCATGAAGATAGTCTCTTTGCTTGTAAATAGTCCTAGGCTATTCTTACGCCCCAATCACGCCCAAAGGCATTCTATTCAACTATGGTTGGACTCCCATGGAACGACAAAACTGGCGTTCGGAGACTCCTGTATTCGGGGTATGCAGCAAGCTGTGGATCAGTACCGTGGCGAAGAAGGGTCCATCAACGTACGGTGCAAGTGCGGACACTGGAGGTTCCACAGAAGCCATTTCCGCATCGCTAATTCAGCGAACGCCTATCCCACGGGTAGTCCTTACTCTCACCTCCGCTGGATACTTCCTGAAATGCAAGTGCAGATCATCTACGATATCCGACATGAGTAGTCGTTCACTTTCTTGACATCCTCATAGCAACAAAACAAGCAAACACATCGGGCCATTTGGTGATTCTCTACTTGACTAACATCTTCAAGACAGCTCCTACGGCGGAAATGACGTCTCCCCATGATATCGACATCTAGACCCATTGCACTTCTCGATGTCCGGGTCACTTCACGAAATGCAGCCGTAGACCTCGGCGTAAAGTTGGAATTTCCATCGATAGCTCAACTCGGCCATCGTGTTGCAAGCATCGATTGTAGTACGAAAGGTGGACGCGTAAACAACGGGTTTGACTCGCCCATGACGCTGTGTTCATCCCAGCCTGTATGGCCGAAGAGAGATACCGCAATATGCGTGCGTGGCATGAGAAAGACGGACGGTCCCCGGGGGCTGGTGATCGGGAGTTGGAGGGTTGCACCATCCGGGCATGTGTCCGGTGAAGTCAAAGAGCGCAAGTGCTTTTGAAGCCCTTATACCTTTGGTGATGATGTTATTATCATCCCAGTCATCTACCTCAAGGGTTAAGCCCTGAAATAGGCATGAGTAATCAACTAGAACTAACGCTGCATTTCTCCGCTACATTAGGCACATAAATCCCCCTTCCTCTAGATGCCCCTGACTGGCGCCGTAAGTGTGAGGTATACAAAGATAGAGAATTGTTCCTCATCTGGAATAACCACTAGGTCATCTGGGTGAACTCTCTGTGGATGGTCCCCTATTATAGCCTCGAGCTTTGCAGCTGTTCCGGTCCTAGGCACTTCTAAGTCATGCTGGCTATTGTTGCTTGTTATTCCCAAGGAATTGAGTCTCCTTAGAAATTTCTTGACTGCTGCTGCTGCTGTTGTTGATGCTCTTGAATGTATCCGGGTATCTGGTATAGCCGGTTTTGTGTTCGAGTCAGGTCTGCTGGTTCCAGGTAACGTTCCTCGCCGCTGAGGGGAAATCCATGTACTCTTGTATATCCATTCCTTCCTTCTTTCGGGGTAGTTTGTGGTCGGTGTTATGTATTCTGAGAAGAAGAACGCAGAATCCCGACGACTGTCATCCTCATGTTCCGAGCCAGAGGACTCTCAGTCCTACTTTGGGCTTTGCCGACGCTGACAGGTTCCCTAGGCACAAGATACAGGTCTCAGCGTTGTCTCCATAGGAGACTGAAACGTGGGTCAGGCCTGGACTAGAATCACGACTGGAGATATTGAGAACAGCCTGGGAGAGGGTGATCCCTTGGGACTTATTGACAGTCATAGCGTATGCCGCCGTAATCGAAAACTGTGTACGTGTGCAGGGGATATTCCCTCAGGCAAATTCTCGCTTAGACCGGAACACCGGTGCGATCTTACACTCGTCAACGTCTTGATAAGCAGGCCTACCGTACCGGTCGAAGTGGACGAGCAGCGCGGACGGCGGTTCCCGATTGGGATCCGATCCGTCCATCCTGCTCCCAAGGCGAAGCCTTGAGTGACCAGTGGCTGCAAATCGCTGCCGATATTGGGATTCCCAATCTCTGCATGGCAGGCCTCGTTTCGTTCCGTGTAGATCCTTATTGCCAGTCGTGCCATCTCGTCGCCGGCATCCATTCCAGCCCGACGTAGGTAATTGACACAGCCAAGTAGGGTGCCTTATTTAGTAGCTAAAAGACAGGCCCCTCCAGATCGAAATTCAATACGACATACAAGAATGACCTTGTTGACGGTGGAGACAAGTTTGAAGATTGACTGGAAGTGGCGCCGCAACGGCGGCATATAGGTGTTCTGAACATATCTCTGTTGGGCCCAGCAGACTGATAGAAGGGTCAACGTGTGCAATAATGTCATGGTCCCCTCGCCCGTACTTGTCTTCGACGACCAGCCTGTCATGGACTGCGACCACTCAATCGGGCAGGCCAGCTTTAGGCCCGACCAATGCTTTACGAAGGCACTTCCACAGCCGGCCCGCATAATCTCCAAGGTGTACAACGAGACATGTATGCAAGACAGAGCCGAAACCGCAACCCTGTCTTACCAATCCATCAGATCCGAGCACTGCATGCCCGGATCATCACTCCTCTTGGCGGGCCGAAGCCTGATTACTTCTAGATGTTCAGGTAGCAGGGGAAGCTGGTCGTACACGCGGCTGGTGCCGTGGAGGAGGCTTGGAGTATGCAGGCGATATTGGTATCACTGGCCCCGGATTCGACGGATCTCGATGAAGACATGAACGCGGGCTATCAACATTTTCTCGGTCTGCGTCATACCGGTAGATCTGGTAACTCTTTGGATCCATGTGGTTTTCCATGGTTGTTCATGATCTCATCCCAGGTGCTATGTACCTGTTCAACAACCACTTTATAGTCAGATTGCAGAAGATACATCCATCAGCTGAGATGAATTAACTTTTCCTCCAGCACAACATCAGCTCTCCCAACTTCGTCGGCATCAGGGTGCCTCACACGCTTTCTGCGCGAAGACCTTGGTTTTTCAACAGTTAAATCCTGCTTTCCAGTTATAGTCAGTCAGAGCACGAGGGCATGGGACAATCAGATCATTGTCCAGCAAGTACTTCCAATGAACTAAGATTCCTGGAGCCGCCTTCGCCTTGCTTTCGTCACCGTATATTCGATCCTTGTTGATTATTTAGAGGGAAGTTCGTACGTATCAAAGCGAGTGTCCCAACCACGGTTCTTATCGATGTAGTAAGAACAAGACGCCGCATTGTTGTTCCAGACACAATTGGCGCAAGCGCCAGAAAAGAAAGCACGGTACTGCTGGTTGACTTCAATCTCGGGGGCGGCTATACAGCGTCGAAAGGTACCTGCACCATTCTTACAAGTCTTGCATCCTTCTTTGTATTCGACTCCGCGGCGATAAAGCAGAATCGCGTTCTGATGAGCTTCGGACGTGACTTCCTTGGTAATATCAACATTGTTCCGAGACGCCCATGAGTGATTCAAATTCATTGAACCACTTTTTGCTTCAGCGGTCTTTCTCATGCACACGAGCTCCTGATGGATTCTGCCTGCGGTCCAGGACCAGTCCACTGGGACCAGAGCCGTGGCAAGACTGTTGCCACGTTTCGAACTGGAGAGTGCTGATCGAGGTCTCATTGTTGATTTATATGTAGTATTGTAGATCAACTTGTCAGATGGTATCTATGGACATGAAAGTGTTAGATCAGAGACTCTTGCATTATGTTAGGGAGAAAATGAAGGTCAATGGCTATACCTCTGCACTGTCTGTCTCCGAATCGGATATCTCAAAAGAATAACCTCTTTTCCTATGGTTGGTCTTTCTCCATGGCTTTGCAACTTATCAGTGACAACTTTTGTCAAGTATGGTTTCCAATGCCTGAAGGGTAGGGCATCTGGCCTGTTCCATTGGGGAGGGTATACCGGCCTGCCATCTGGGCTCAGCCTGGTCAGTTGGGTGGAACGCTCATCGAGTGAACGTGTTAATAGTCGACTTTGCGACGTGTTGGAATGCTTGCGGGTGGATTGGGTCGGATGTCTACAGGTTCCGCCGTCGATGCCCAGTGAGGATAGGTATAGGTAGGGCTTTGCCCATTTGGCAGACTGGCCTAAACTACCTTAGTCGGCGCAACGTTGGGTGTGGATTGTCGGGTCTAAAGGTGCCAATTGGGATGCCTGCGGGATGGTCATTGATAGCTCTCTCAGTCAAGCCAAGGGATATGATATGTATAGAAGATCAAATCATTGCAGAGACAACCAGAAGATATATAGTGGTTTTGTGCAAGTTGAAGAATATATTCAGAATCAAGAGCAAGCAGAAATAAGAAGGGAGCAGAGCAGTTAATATATACTATCCAGGGAGGGGTAGTAATCATTCACTAGATACAACGAGAGAATCATTCGTTACTGACTGCCTTTACACGCAAGCAACAGCCTCACTGCAACGATCAAAGACAGAAATGGTGAATAAGGCAGCAAACGCTTAAGCGAGCCTGTCATAGTCTTTAGCAACAAGATGAAGTCACTGATCATCGTCACAAGCCTTGACAAGCACTACAGCAGTTGTCCGTCTCCACCAGTCGGATCTCGTATCTGAAGGCTGCTCCATACTAGCTTGCATGAAGAGCGTCTTATATATCACCCTCTGGTTTTCATTTTCATTCCATCATCCATTCTCCTAATCTCTTCCTATCCCTCAAACTTGAATCTATAATTCCAAAATGAGAGTCACAACCTGGTTTTCCCTCCTCCTTACCACAGCCCTCGCAGCTCCCCAGAGTGACTCCCAAGCTCTATCCAGCGACCTTGCCAACTGGTCCTCCCTCGGAAATGCCTTGTGAGTCTAGCCTTCTTGATTTTCGGAGCTTCTACAACTAACAACCCACCAGACAATCCCTAAACTTCAACTTCACCCTGCCCACCAAAACCGCCAACCTTGACAACATCTCCCCACCCCCTCGCTCCCTCATCCCAGAGGTCATCACCGCACTACCCCCCTCGGTACTAATGGAACTCGTCATCCCGTCTCAGCGCAGCGCTCTCGCCAGCCAGTTCAAGGCCGGAAGTACACCCGCCTGGTACGCCAGTCTTCCCAGCGATGTCCAGAGTTACCTGTCCGTGGTGAAGAGCCAGATCTCCGAGGGCGCGTTGACGGCTACCACAGGCCTGGCATATCAGACTGCGGCTACTGCGTCTGCTACGGGGACAGCGACGGAGACGGGCGCGTCTGCGGGGGGAGCAACGTCTACGTCGAAAGGGATGGCTGCTGCGGCGAGGCCGACTGGCGTGTTGATGGCGGGGGGAGTCGGTATGGGCGTTTTGGGGCTGGCGTTGGTGCTGTGAGGGACGACCGAATGAATGTGATCAGCGGGCCAAATTGATGGATGTCTGAAAAATCAAGGAACGAGTGGCGATGATACGAAAGTACGGATTATGGACGATGTGATGACTTGAACTAGTCTGGATGCCTCGTTTATTGGGTAGACTAATGAGATGACATGTTTTACCGAATATCCACGGGTATAATAGCTCTTCGGTTAAGCTTTAGTGGGGATGCGGAGAAGTCATGCGCTCTTGATAAGACATACGGGCTTGTATTACGACTACGACAGGGTAGATAATTGAATTGGGCATATGGAGCGATGACTGAGACAGTGGTTTATTCTGTGCTAGATAGAATATGATGACAGTTGAGATCGTGTCAATTCATGGAAAGAATAGCGAGGTAGGCAGATTCACATGAGTGTCTAAACCCGAGGTCCCTAAGTGGCTCTACACTCAGATTGTCAGCGATCAACAGTCTCAGTGCTTTAGCCGAAGTAGCTCACCCTGGTCGAATCCACTCGAAAAGCCTACCAGACCGCGCATCCAACTGTGTGAACTAAACCGACCAGACCGGGCCTGAATAAAGATTAACATGTCTACGTATGTGGCTCAAAGACCCTGAATCATTAATCTATCTGAGAGGTATTCAAACAATGCTTGGGGTTTATCTCCACATCATCCAGGGACCGGGCATCAAGCTACCCAAAAGGGAATGCATTGCGGCACGGGGGCCACTGTGGGGAGTGGAGTTGGAGGCTGGAGAAGCGGAGAGGACTGAACACTGCGCATTCGCATCACATGAATGTCGAGAAACTGGGCATCATTATCTATTTACTTCTAGGTTGGCTTGATAACACGAAGTGAAGGCTGAGTGAAATCTACAGCCTCGGAGGTAATTGTCCAGATCCACGGGTGCAGGGCTAGACTCTGGTTGGGACCAAGACATGTCAAATCGGGGATTTACTCCAGAACTCCATCGACTCCTAGATAGCCCCATCGCATTTGTGAAGCTGATGGCGATGGAGCTGGACAGTAGATAGCGGGGTAATCATGATGCTTGTTTCTTGCAACTGAGGCCTCGTATCCGAGATAGTTAATTAACAGGAGATAGCAATACATATACTTACCTCTGCTCGAGAGTATCTACTGTCTTCAGACACATCTTCCTTCTATCAATAACAACAACATAACAATATGCGTCTCTCAACTCTTCTCCTTCCTCTCCTCCCCCTCGCCCTCGCCAACCCCAACCCCAACCCAGTAGCCGCACCAGCCCCCCAATCTACCGGCGGCGGCCTCCTCTCCGAACTCCCCACCATCCTCAACGGCGTCAAAGAGCTCCTAAGCGAGGACACGCTCAACGACCTGCAAACCATCGTCAAAGGCGGCGCCGTGCTTTTGGGCGGGGACAACCCATCCAACATCGCCAAGTTGCTTTCAGGAGATAATGTCAACAAGCTCCAGGATGTGATTGATAATGCGCACTCGCTGTTGACGGCGAACTTTGTGAATGAGACGTCGACGCTGATTGGGGATGCGACGCCGGTATGTTTCTTTTTGAGTTTCTTGGGGTTGATGCTGACAGTTGTAGCTGGTTTCGGCTGTGGAGAAGTTGCTGGGTGGGTTGTTGGCTTCGTTGACGTAGTTGGTATGGAGTCTGGGTATATATGAATGATGAATTCATGGGTAAATATGCATATACAGTGATTTTCGATTGATTATTATAAAATGGGATAATACAATTGCATCGATGTCTTGTTTCTCTTACTTGAAAGCTGTGTAGAGGATAAAATTTATAATGTAGATTCACTGAGTATACAGAATGACGTTAACCAACATTCAAATGTTTCCTCAACTCATTCAGATAGTATCGCAACGGATAAGACCGCATCGACACTGGCAGCGCAGGATAGACTGCATTCGAAAACCCCATCGTGCTCCGGTACAACCCACGCGTCCCCATCGTAGACTTGAGTCCATACTCCTCTCGCAGTCTCGGCGGCAGCATCTCGATCGTCACCACCCGCAGAAACGGCTTCAGCATCTGCACCCACCGCGGCACAGCCTTGTCATGCAGCAGATCCTTGGCGAACTTGTTCGCGTCCGGCGTCACCGTCAACCGCTCGATGCGGTCGTCCCAGTACTTCCAGAACTTCTGGCGCGTCTCGGGCCAGACACCTGAGGGCAGGCCCAGACTGTGAATTAGGAGACCAAACTCCGCGTACGCCTTTTCGGCCGTCCGGTAGTCTACCCGGCCGTAGATGCGCTGGTAGAAATCTGTTGCCGTGGCGTAGAGCGTCGCCGCGATCCAGAGCTGGACATCGGGCGCGGCGGCGTAATAGTGCTCGCTGCCGCGGAGAGGAGGCTGACCTCGATTAAGCATCTCCAGCAGCGTCTTCTTCTCCTCCCGGGTACCAAAGACCAGGCAGGAGAAGTAGCTTAGCATTGCTTGCAAGGCATCGCCTAGCTCGGTGGCTAGATTGGGGCTGTTGGTGGCTTTGTCGTGATCGTTGCGAATCTCGGGCGTGGCTGCTTGGAGAAGAAGCGCTGTTCCTGATCCAGCGAAGAGGATACCCTCTTGGAGGATTTGGGGGAGGATTTCGAGGTTATCCAGCGCATCGAGAGAATAAGTTTCTGACTTGATGCTGTTGGCGGTAGGTGTTTGTGGCTTTTCTTCGGGGAGCGTTTCGTCGAGGGACATTTTGATGCCGTGATTCCCTATCCAGAATAATTATGCCAGACGTCTTCTTTCCCTGTGTTGAGTGATGGACTTGCTGCAAGGATTGGGAGATTTCACTGTGGAATTAGGAGACACCGGAGGCCCCATACGATCTTCAACGCTTCCACACGCTTTTCATCACTTTCATCATCTCAGCTCAATGATGAAAAGATCAGACCACATGCAGACCGCTGCAGTTGCCCATGCTTCGCATCCGACAAATTTCGTCATATTATCAACCCCGCATATTTACCCCCTAACCGGGACAGAGTTCCTCTTCCCCAACTTTCGGGCTTGTCCAGCGTCTGTGGCACTTGCGGCCAAAGCTTGAGTCGAAACAACCCGACAATGAAGCCACTTTCGTACTGTTCCCCACCATCCATCTGACGAGGTTTTATCAGTAATGAGCTAGCAACCGCGGTTGTTTAATAGTCTGCGATGATCGTTATCCCAATGGCCGCATGTGAACTGTTAATCAATCGCCGGGATTGGCTGTAGGGGGAGATCGCCGAAGTCGCAGTGCCGATCATGCGGAGGGAACCCCCTAAAAGGGCTTAAGTCTCTAACCGAAATGGGCCAAACTCAATACAACAAAGCAAGACTTGCGAGCACTTGGGCCCAACGCTAAGTGAAACGGCGCAGAAGATAACAGACATTTGAATTTGGCTCGGAGCTAGAATTGAAGAAAATGAAATTATCGTGTGACGGTGTGGCCCGCAATCAGCTATGACTCTCGTGCGGATCGAGGTTGACGGGGCCCATCACGTTCGTCTTCTTCATATATTCATTGCTACCAACTACCCCGGATTTCGAGATCTGGTCTATCTTTAGACTCTTGCTATCCGGATCACTGTCACCATGGCCGAGATGGAAGAAAAGCCCTCCTATCTCAGTGCCAAAGGGGCCAAGTATGCCCTCGGTATCCATCGAGGGCCTCTCCCCCCGGCCAATGCGGACGGGGGGGAGATTGAACATGTCGAGACAGCATTGTCGCTGGAGAAGAAACAGAGAACGAAGAAAGAGGCCATCCGTCGCCATTGGGCCCGGTTCTGGTGTTGCTATATCTTCTTCTCGATCATTTTCCTCGCCATCATCCTCCCGGTCTTGTGCGTCTTCCGCCCTTGTTCACGACATCTGTGACCTTGCTGACAGTAGAATAGCTTCCTGGTGATTCTTCCCTCTGTTTCTCAACGAGTTGTCGACAATTCCAACCTTGTTCTCGTCGATGCAAGTGTCATGCAACCTCGTCCAGAGTCGGTACTCCTCACTATGCAGTCTGCCCTCAAATTGCCCATCGGGCTTCCCGTTCGAATCGATCCCATCACTTTGGACCTCTTCAACCGGGGCGAGTCCGGAAACAGCACCTTTGTCAAATTGTACCTCAACGGAACAACTATCTCAGGCAACACCACTTTGGGAGTCACTAATCAGTTCACTCCACTCAACGTGGATCAGTGGACCAAATATGTGCGCAATGTGGTGTTTGATGAACATGCACCGTTGTCGTTGAAGGGGACTACCATGTCGTATCTGGGCAAGCTTAAGTCTCGAGTGACAATGGACAAGACCATCAAGCAAAATAGTAAGCGAACGTCTTCACTGGTAACGAAATCACTGGCTGACTTTCTCAGCCCTGAACAGCTTTGCTGGATTTTCCATCGAAGGGTCGCAATTGCTTCTGCCTGCTGAACCAGACGGTACCAACCTGATCGCCAACGCCACATTGCCCAACCCGTCGGTCATGACATTGGAAATCGTGAGCGCAGCAGCACCGTCCGCTATTGAGTATCACTAACCATCGATAGGGCACAACTGTGTTGGACCTCAAGAGCGGCGATCTCGTCATCGGCAACGCAACGATCGATAATCTCGTCCTCAGACCGGGCAACCATTCCAATCCCGTCCGCGGCAGACTCGATCTCAAGACTGTGTTGAAGAACCTTGGGCCGGTCCTGCAGAGCCAGAAAGACTCCCTCCGCAACGGATATCTGTCTCTCGATACCGTTACCAAATCAGTCGTTTATGAGGGCGTGGAAGTGCCATATTATACGAATGTGATGAAGGACCTGACCCTTAGCGCGAAGATTCCTATCGGCGGCCTGCTGGTCAACACCCTCCGGGGGATTTTCAACAAGAACGGGACAAACATCCTCGACCAGATGAATATCACGGACTCATCGTCGTCGGAAAGCACGAGCAGCGTGCTGTCCGAACTGCAGCATCTGAACTTGAGCAGTCTGGGCGGAAGTCTGAGCAGCAAATTGACTAGTCGATCGCTGGCCGAATTCCTGGATCGTCCCGACGACAAGTTATTATTGGTTGATGTGCTGAAAGGATTCTTGTGAACGAATCACGACCTGTTTGATGAATCCAAGACGGGGATATTGACATGAGCGGCGTTTGGAGTTTTTTTTATTTCTATTGTCTCTTCTATTTTATTGTGTATAGATGAAGAGCAATCCCTTGTATATACATGAACAAACACAATATTAATGCTTGAACTAGGCACTTAATCCACGAAATAAAACCCCCCTCCGCATTGAAACAGGAAACGTGGGAAGCCAAGCACGCCGGCGGAAGCAAAAACCATGTGAAAGATGAGACCGTGACATCGGGCCTTGATTCTTCCACGGATCTACATGCAACTTCCACCTATCGTAACGCCATTTCTCGAGGGTTGCACTCTTTGTTCTCTCGTCGACCAATGACCCGAGAGTCTAGCGGTTATCTTGGCTTCTTAGAGTAATTGATCAGAACCAAGGCAGGCCGTGGTTGAAGTCTCTTTATACACTTAGGGAGGCCTTTTGGTGCCAACCGCCAAGGATTGATTTGGAGGATTGAGACGCGTGTTGAACTGGTCAGGGCTATCTTCTCCTATTCCTTGAGCTAATGGGAGGGTCCATACTCCGTAGTCAGGACTTGATTTCCGATAAAGTAGGAAAATGGCTGACCTGTGGAGCTAAAAGGAGGCTGTCTACCTTTGTGCTCTTTTTGTCTGGGGTAACACCAGGGTTGCAAGTTACAAGTCAGCTCACCACGTGGATAGGTCATATTCTTCGTAACCTCGATGCTGACATCTCTCCTCAAGAGTCTCAAGCTCCGCGTCCAGACCAGTCAAGCCTTAAATCCGACGCGTAAACTTTGCTGGATTGCGGGGGAGGCGTTTGAGGGACGGCCCCCATGATCCAGTATGAGCCTATCCACACAGCACAACCCTGTAATATCGTGTTCCAGTCCACATTATGTTGGTGGCGTTTGCCCAGAGTTGTACTAGTCCAGAACCTTGCGCTCGTTGGTCTGATACTAAATACATCGTTCTGGGTGGTAGGTAGTACTGGGATGTTGCTGTGTGCCGTGGATGTGGTCCAATCGTTGCTGGCATTCACCCTGTGGTTAATGGATCAGGCGACTTGGGACTGTTGTATTCACTAAACTAGTCCATCAGAAACAGAAACAAACGGGCCATTTAGCGGCATGGCCCGTTTGATTCTTTCGGATTATCTCCTGGAGCTATGTCCGGTTTGGTTGTTGTCGCTTGCGAGAGCAGGGCAGAGAGTATTTAATCGCTGTGGGGTACTCGCATCTTGGATACTTCTCTCTTTGGCCTCTTTTCTCCTCCCAAGTTTCTTATTTTTACCTCACAGTGGCTGGCCTGTCGTACAAAGCTGCTTTTGACAGCTGGCTGCAAAAATGAAGAAGTTTTACAATGTCTACTTTCTCTGTAGCTTCATCACCTTGGGTGAGGATGCCTCTATCCAGAATTGCTTGACGCCTTACTGACTCTTCCAACCAAAAAAGGGGGTGCCTTGTTCGGGTTTGACATCAGTAGCATGAGTGGTGCGTTTAGTTCTTTATTCTTCAGCTGGTGAGTTTTTGTCTGACGGTTGCAGGTGTCCTGGGAACTCAGGCGTATGTGAACTACTTCCGCGTGGGCAGCGGCCAGTATAAGCAGGCAAGTTCCAATTAGCCCTCTGTCCGAGTCCCCCCTTCTAAACTAGTACTAGGGTGGCATCACCTGTGCCATGCCCTTTGGCTCGCTCATTGGTGCTCTGTGCTCGAGTTTCATTGCGGATCGCTACTCTCGTGTCACCGCAATCCAGTTCTCGACTATCCTGTGGACTATTGGCTCCATGTAAGTCTGCTGCATATCTGCATCTGTCGTGCCGACTAATTCGTCTAGCTTTATGACTGCCTCCAATGGCATCGCTTTGCTCGTCGTCGGTCGTGTCATCGCTGGTCTTTGTGTCGGTATCGCCTCGGCTATGGTTCCTGTCTACCAGGCAGAGGTCGCTCCAAAGGAAATTCGTGGTCGGGTTATCTCCCTCCAGCAATGGGCCATTACCTGGGGTATCTTGATTCAGTTCTTTATTGTGAGTGGCCATCTTATTCCCTCTGGACAACAGAATGTCCACTGACAGTTGGTAAGCAATACGGTGCTAGCAACGTCGACGGAGGTGCCGATAACCCGACTCAAAGTACCGCTGCCTTCCGCATTCCCTGGGGTATCCAGATGGTGCCTGGCTTTATCCTCTTCGTCGGCCTGTTCTTCTTCCCCAAGTCGCCCCGTTGGCTTGCAAGCAAGGACCGCTGGGACGAAGCTATGGAGGTGCTTGCCAACCTTCACGGAAACGGAGACCGCAACCATCCAAAGGTTTTGGCTCAGTATCAGGAAATTGAGGAGGCTTTGGCTCTGGAGCGTGAGCAGGCGTCTACTAGCTACCAGGAACTGATCAAACCTCGCATTCTCAAGCGTGTGTTCCTTGGTATGAGTTTGCAGATGTGGTCTCAGCTGTGCGGTGAGTCGATCGATCGTAACCCTTACATGAGGCAAAGACTAATGGCTGCTGCTATAGGTATGAACGTCATGATGTACTACATTGTGTATATCATGCAGAGTACGGGAACTGGAAGCCCTCTCCTCACCGCTTCCATTCAGTACATCCTGAACACTGCTTTGACCCTGCCCGCCATCATCTACCTGGACAGATTCGGTCGTCGTCCTGCCATCCTGATCGGTTTTGCCTTGCAGGCTGTCTTCTTGTACATTGAAGGAGGTCTACAGGCTGGATTTGGCAAGCCCAACCCTCATACCGACCCCAAGCTGGATGCCATTTCTTGGGTTGTATCCGACCATCCCAACGTCGGTAAAGCAATCATCGCGCTCTCCTACCTCTTCGTCTGCTCCTTCGCCACAACCATCGGTCCTACTTCGTGGACCTATCCTGCGGAAATCTACCCGGCCAAGGTCCGCGCCAAGGCCGTCTCTCTCGCTACCGCGTCGAATTGGATCTGGAACTGTCTTCTTGCTCTGTTCGTCCCGCCTCTGCTGTGGGCGATCAACTGGAAGATGTACATGATCGTACGTACTCTATTGCATGGAAAACTTATAAACATAGAAAAAGCTAACTAACAAATTTTACAGTTCGCCGCCTTCAATACCGCGGCCTTCATCCACATGTTCCTCATGGCCCCCGAGACCAAGGGTTACACTCTCGAGGAAATGGACGAAGTCTTCGACAGCGGCCTGCCCGCCTGGCGTAAGCTCAACAAGCGCAGCAGACTGGAGGAGCTCGAACAGGAGATTGCCGAGGGCAAGCTCAAGGTCGCTGCTCACGGCGAGAAAGGTGGACCTGTTGCTGCTACTACCGAGACCGCGGAGAGGCAGATGGAAACCGTCTAGACGGTACCGTCATTTCTGGATCTTGGTGGAAAGCTTTCCTTTTAATGGTTAATAACTTGGAATATGAGCTGACTACCTTCGGGCTGGGGTATCCAGTTCCGTGTTTGGTTAACTTGGCTAATCTCAGGTAGTCCTCATGGGCGTCTTTGTTAGTTCTATCTAACGGTAATTCAATCTAATCTCTTTGTCAAGTACGTAATGAGCGTACGCTAGTGGAGCTGAATATGCTAATGGGATATACAAGCACTGTTTAACTCAACACTGAGCAAGACCCAGACCCGGCTCTGATAATGTACCTGATCGTCCTTAAGATCCAAAGTAATAAGAGCCCTTTTTCAAAATAATACATACAACCCGGTTTTGGACATAAACCAAAGCGTGGCTCTCATCTTCATAACACTGCCAACAAAGTCCAACAGTTACAGCAGGTTCCGCAACAAAACAGTCCTGTAAAGCCAGGTGCTCGTAGAACTCTATTCACTAAACCATACCACATTCACCCCCAGTAAACAATGCAAGATTCACTCTACCTTTCCCCATCTCCTACCCCTCTCACCCCCCCCATCTACGTCATCCCTCTCCATCCAACACCATCATCACACATCACGTGCCTTCAGCAACCCTTAGAGAGAGAGATGGCTACTACTACCTCCTCCGTCACCATCAACGTAAGCTCTCATCTCATCCCAATACCAAGCTAAATACTAACAGCAAGCGCAAAAAAACAAAGTTCTACGGCGAACTCCGCCAGCTCTGGGTCGAGATAAACTCCCACTGCGAGAGACTGCATCTCCTCGACTCCACGACCCGCGTGCTATCCGCCTGTATCGAATGCAAGATTACGCCATACGGGATGGTCCCGCTTGATATTGATGGATTGGAGAATGCGGATGAGTATGTGATGCAGTTGGTTGTAAGCATCCCTCCTCCATGGCTGGCTTGTAAGTGGAGGCTAAGCTTACCGTGATAGATCTGCGGCCCAGAATTCCCCGTCGGCCCGATCATCTCGTTCGTTGACTCCGTCCGCATGATGTGTGAGCCTGTGAGCGGATCTGCGCAAGTGCATATTACTGCTATTGCAGTTCCGTATGCGGTTTGTTGCCTTGCCTTGCCTTTGGTGGATGTATGTGGTGTGCTTGCTGATGAGGAGGGTAGACGCAGCAGCCTGAGGGTGCGGCTGCAAGCGGATACTAGGTTTTGGGTTGTGGGTTTGCCTTGCTATGAGATGCCAGGGGCTATGTGCAAGACAGCGTGAACTCGGGAGAGGTTAGTGGTAAGTATGATTTGAGATTATTGCGAGGTATACGAAGCTGATTGGGTTCTACTTCTGTGGCAGGAGACGCACGGTTGCAAGCTCTAGATTGAGCATTGGTCCATATCGTTGGAGGAAGATTCCAGTTGTTGATGACAGACAAGGAGGCCAGAGAATAGTTCTGGACTAGAACCAGGCTCATCTGACCTTGTCGGGTGTGGTTGCTCTGGTTGGTTGTTCCTATTGTCTAGTCAAATGAGCTCCAACGATTCTTGAATTTTGATTTCGTCTAAAAATTCATCGTAACAGTAGATCCATCCGAAAGTAACCTCCCAAGTTTGCAAAATAGCTTGCTGGCATGATGTTAGATTCGTGCAGAAATTAGTGGTGCCTGAGGCACCACACAGTTTTGTTTCTGGCAGTTGATCGCGATCTTTTTCACCTGTTTCTCCCCTTAGACACTTGGTCACACTAACATCGTGACTGCCGGCTTTCTATCAGGGGCGACTTCTGGCTGCGATGATCTGACATGTCAAGATCTGCAGTCCTGTGTGACTTGCGATATTCAGTGGCTGACCTCATGTGTTTATCCAACTGCGAGGTTAAGAATTGTGTCATCTCAAGTACTCCGTACCAGAGTATTCCCAACTCAACCTTGATACCTGACTCGGATGGTTACGCCTCTTACGGCATCTTAAATATGTGACCTGGTCACCAGCTTTTGCAGAGTGCACAGACTATGGACGGGGTTGAGCAATTTGGGGGCCAATACAGATTGCCCCAATCAGTTGACCGACACATGGATTGTAAGCGGCTCAGTCAATCCCGAACTGCCGACCTGATATTCAAGCACAATTACCGAATCTGAAGTCGCGGGCTCTGCACGGGCTTTAGGAGACCCGGAGCCAACAGTGGTGCTGATTGTTGGCTCCTTTTATTGTGGGCTGTGACACCTCAGCGTCCTTTGCCCACTTCACCCGTCAGCCCAGGCGGCGCACTGGTGCGCCTTCCTTCGCCTTCTCTTGTCGATAATTTTCTGCATCAACAAGGGCAAGATACGCTGACGAAGGTAGTGGTTGAAGCTTCACCTAGTTCCAAGATACCTCCTGTCGGCCTAGCTCGCCTGCCAGACTTGTCTATGGCTATCTTTGCGCCGTGTTTCATAATCGGATTCTGAGACAATCTCACCGCCGTTCGACGTCAGACTCAGGCGATTCGACCGGCACGATGAAACTCACTCACACTCACGGGTACATTACCCTCTGTACCTATCGCTGCTCTGTACACAAGTCAACCCCGCCAACGCGAGTTGCTATAATCTTGACAGAAGCGAAGCACTGGACGACATCCTTGTCGAACAGATGGAACCTCAATCTGCTGCAATAAGTAAGATGTCTGCTTATCAAATGGCTTGTGCTATTTGCAGGGTTCTCATCCAAATACACTCTCGCGTGGAAGTTGTACGGACATAAACTGCGGACCAGCGTGTTATGCGCCATGCTGGACGTTCCTTGTATGACCACTTGGCGTATCTCAAGCTGGCCATGCCATCTAGCGGACATCAATCGACAAAGCGGCTACCCGATCGTGAACATCGGCTACGACAAAACAAACTCCAAATACTGCTGCGGATCTGTGGTGGACAATAAATGCCAAGATGGTGATCCCTTTACAATCAAAAACGGGGCAGTGATACCAGGCGTAGCAGCTCTGGCCGGTTACGTGAACGCTTCGTCGATTACCAGCACCACCTGTTCTGATTCCTCGTCAATCACATCTTCAAGTTCCTCCTCAATCACGAATACCACCTGTCCAACACCAACAGGGAATAATTTATCACTTTCGTCCCACACCGTGGCTATCAGAGTAGGGTTTGGTATGCCGTTAGGTGTCATTACTCTGGCATCAATCGCCTGGGCACTGTGGGAACGTCGGCAATGTAAATATGCTCGTCTGGAGAGTATGCCTGCGATCGGAGAACAGGCGACAGGTCAATACCAGCATCAATATCCCCCGCACGGTGTATATCAAGCACATCCGGCGGAGCTCGGGACTAGGCAAACAAGGCTGGTGTCGGAGTTGGACAGCAACGGGGATGCAAAATAGACTGGATATCGGGGTCAGCAGGACGACAGGTTATGTAATAACGAATAATTCAGGGTACTTTGTAGATGCTCCGTTTATACCGGTAGAGAGTCCAGACAAAGTGGAATAAAGTACGGAGTTCTTAGCCATGGGTCAAGCCACAATCAGACACATCATACAGGCTGGGAGCTGCTTGTCAGGCCACCTACTACAAGAAGTGCAATGTCCAGATCGGCTTAGCTCTTGCTCAATAAGCAGACGTATGACTCAGTACCAGTCCCGAAGTTAATAAGATTGCATCCAGTGCTTTTGCACGTACGAGAGAAAAAGGTTAAGTGGGTACGCCTCGTATTCCTTCAATTACAGGTCTTAGTTGCAGAGTGACAAGTTGCGAATACGACATGATCAACCAGTTGCGGGCTTACGACTGATCAGATAGCTTTGTTTATTTGATTGATTACAGCCGACTGCCACTAGAGAGGACGGATCAGTCAGCGAAGCCAATATCCATGATTAATGCTTAGATACATAGCAGGCTCCTCCCGGACAGATGGCACCGCCTGGTTCGTCCTTGCTGTGCTGACGGGAGTCTGTAGCATTGCCCGCTCCTGCTGGCATGGAGGCCCGATTTCGGTTGCGTGATCACTGTTGGGCCCCCAAGGCCGGACGCCCGAGGCGTCCGGAGTAAGACGTTTCAAACCTGGAAGTCTGATGACAGGATCAAAGTTGATGAGTATGATGGCTTGATTACCGCCGCCCAGTCCTTCCTGGTCGATGGAGTAAATAATCGAACGCTCGTCTGCAACCGCTTGGATTTTGCCAATGCGGTGGGACGGGCAGAGGAGCTGGGTCAGCTCCGCGGGGGCGTTGTCGGGCGGCCACATGTGGATTCCCCGGGAGGTGAACCGCTCCTCACTGTGTTCCATGGGATTGCCGTCGTCGGTGAATTCTGGTTTGTGGAGGGTGTTGCTTGCCTCGTCGATGGGGCTCTTGCGTTTCCGGGAGACAGTCCGCAGGCGGAGGCGATCGCGGGGGATGTGGCTGCCTCCTGGTGATGATGGGTGGGGGTCGTTGACGAGGTCGACGAATGTCGAGGCCGAGAGGTTGTAAGTACGGAACTTAGTTTTGGCCAGGATGAAGTCGCGTCGCTGGTATGGGGTGTCCTGGTCGTGGTTGTCTTGATTGTCCAATGGATATTCCGAGTGGTAGTGTCTGCGCAGCCGTTTCCGCGGTCTCTCGTAGATTGCCTTGTTCGACGAATCTAGTGTCTTGGTTAAGGGCTCGTCTGGCAATTCAGCAGCTAGCGAGCTGCATGGTGGGTGATTGGCCGGTCGCTTACTCCGAGAGATCTCTGCAGGCGACGGGAGGGGCTGCATGTAGTAAGTCCGGCAATTATCACTGCCCCCATTGCGCCATTCGCGGCGACATTCCAGGATCAGGAGCTGGTTGGTCGCTTCGTCCTCTCGAAGCGAAAGGTCTGACCATGTGTCATTGATTGGGCCTTCGCGATGCTGTCGACGCCACTCGGTCCTGGGCGTCACCGAACCCGTATTCCCGCGAGGAGGCAGACAGATCCACATGTACAAGGAGGTCCAGTCGACTTCTTCTTCTTCAAAGTCTACCAGCGTCGACACGGCATACAGATGGTCTTGATGCACCTCGAAGCAGACAGTCTGACCGATCTCATTGCCAACAAAGTTGTGCAGCTCGACAGGTTTCTCTGTTGTGTGTTGTCCAGTAGCTAAATCCACGCAGTGGACGGCCCACTGCGGATAGCCATAATGACTCAGTGCAGACTGAGTTCCGTAGTAAAGGTAGGACTTGTTATGTCGAACAAAAAGTCGTCGTGTGGACTGAAGCGGTGTGCGGAGACGTAATCGACCAGTCCTGCAGTCTGTTTTCCTGCGCATATCTACCGCAAGAAGCCAAGCCTCCCGCACCTCTCCAATCTCGGCCAGAAATGCCAGGATCCCGTCACGGTAGTGCAGTAGCGATATCTGCATCATGTATCGCGCCGGATTGCAGCCTGGGATCGCACGAGAGAGGACATTGTGAATGTTTAACACCTGCTCTACTTGACCGACCCCGTGCACATCCAAGGCACGAATCTTGTTGTCATAGATGTAGCAGAGGGAGCCTTGGTTATACAAAAAGGCCGACCCGTATGCAAGAACCGAGGCTGAATACGGCTGAGCTGTGGCGAAAGCTTCCTTGATGTCAAACAGACGGCCAACTGCTCTACGATACCCAGTTCTAGTTCTATCCGCTTCCCGCCCCTCGTTGGAATGAAGCAGGTGGTTCTAAACCATGTTAAATGCTGCCCTTGTTCTGAACTTGTGCAGAATGTACACACCTCAATTGTCTTTCTCGCAATGGACTCATTTCGCATCAACGTGTTGAGAGCCTGGTTGACGCGACTGAGATGGATAAAGTCGTGGCAATCCAACCCCGAGGCGATCTGGTAGAACACATCGTATGGGATGGAGTCCAACTTCTTGGTCATGTCGGTCATGTCCAAAGCAAGAGGAAGAGATGATAGCTCTAATCGAGCATGGATAATATATTGAATAACAAAGCGATGGAATGGTAATGATGTTGTAGTTAAAATATGCGGTGATGATGTGATGACAGTGATGGTGGTGCGAATAGTAAAGGATAATGAGTATCTCCAACAGTGGAGACACAGTCATCCATCTTGGTTGTCACACGCTGAGCGAATTGTAGAATATATGAAGACAGAGATTTGAGCCTCCCGGTTGAGGCTCTGTATAAGCTTTGGAGAGCTCTGTTCATTTGGGTAGGATTGGCCCACTGGATGACGCGTGGATTATTGAATATGAATTCCATCCTGATCCCCACGGATCGAGCTAGCTTCTAAGGAGCTCAGAATGAGAACAGTCTAACTGTTTTGGAAAAGAAAAAGAAAGGTTGTCTTTGCCTCACAAAGCAAAATAAAAAAAGATCACACCTTGGGAGTCAGCCACAACACCACGAGAGGGTCTGGGCGGCACGAATGCTGATCAACGCCACGCGCAGTCATCTTCAGACGGGTCATCGTGGGTGAGCATAACGCATCCAATGGTCCAGGAGTAACCACTGCAGAGCCGCAAGTCCCACGGAGGATCCGGTCCAAGAGTCCCAGTTCCCCATTCCTGTGTGGCATTTTCTAACTAGTGTTGTTATTGACGAGGCTTTCAATCACTTTGTGTCCTTGCATTCAACCCCCAAAATGGGGCTCTCCATTGAAACAAGTCCCAAGCCATGATAATGTTTCCACCAAGTTCGTGCTACAATTTGTGTCACCTCAGCAGCACATTTATGGGAGCTAAAAATATTTACAAATGACAGCTCTCTAAGGGTCGATTCCTGGTCTCCAATAAATGATCCCCAAGGCCAAGTGAGACTTATCTGAGACCACCTCGGTCCCTCACCGATTCCGGAGTGCCGCCGCCAAAAATTACTCCTTTTTGGATTGTGATGAGGCTCAAAGTGGCAATTTCCAGACCTGCTAGTGTCAATGCAAGGGGAACGCTCGAGAAAGAACTGGCCTACGGACTTCCGAAGCTGCTAGTCCGTGGAAATGCCAAGATTCCATCATCATCGTATCCGGGATCAATATTCACCCAAATCGGATAAGAAATGAGCAAATTCGCTCATGTTCCTGTTGTCAAGTGACCGACTAAAGAGCCACGACTGCCGAGCCTCAATACTCCGTTTTGTTTTGTAGACCCCGGAGTTATTGGCTGCCTGAAGAGGGGAAGTTTCGGTCTCAAACTTTCTAGCCACCTTCGAGTGTCTGGACGACTAACCCACTCTGACTCGGGTTTCCCTTTGATTATCGACCCGTGATGATTATCGTTACCAGAATATGGGTTCATCACAAAGGATGCAACACTTGGTCGTAGCTTTTGGTGGCTGGCCAGCATTGAAAGCTCGCCGCCTGCGCCCAAAACCCAACCATGGCCTCGTTTTTAAGGCAGCCGACCCGCCAACTGGACAGTATGCAGGATCTGCCAAATTCTGTGCTATCAAACACGTCTGATATCTCAAATTCTCCATCATTTGTCAACCATCAAAGGGAGCACTTTGTGTGCGACTTCGAGGCCTCGAATCGCCAGCCTTGTCGTCCCGTGCGTGAGTTCCTGAGGGTCTGGCCCCCGCTTTTGCACTGCCTCGCGCCTCCAAAGGTCCGAAACGATGATCAAACAGGCACGCCAGACAAGGCGGGCACAAGGCTGGAGAATCAAAGTCTCGAGGTTGGAAAGGCTGAGGTACAGGGGAATTGTATCCAATCGGAATGGTCTCCCCATATGTCCCTTGTCGATATCATGGTACGGACGGGACCAAGCATGGTGCATGATTGCTGATGGCGGCCGGGCTTCCGAGTCCCACCAGTAGAAAACTCCCCGACGAAATCATGCTCAGAGCCAAGGATATGTGATTGTGTGCTCTCGGTCGATCATGATGCGGGGTGTCTGGACTTGGTGATCAGGAACAGCTTTGATAGCTCCTCGAAGTCCGGCCGTGGCATTGGACGTCCCCGGAGTTTACTGGTCAGCAGTGCAGTAAGCGTTGCATCATGTGTCAGCGCTAACAGATAAGATGACCACTTTGAGCAAACAGGGTTGCCTGGTTTCGATGCTCAGATTATGGCCCTGGTGCAACGCACGGCCAGTCAACTATTCGCCACTTTATCCCCTATCATCAGCGTCTATAATTAAACCAATGCACGCATCCCGGCGACAGGTCCACCTGGACCTCAACCGCCTGTTGCCGATAGCGGCCTCCATGACTCTCATCTGCGAGGTCGCGATTGGTCAAATCGATGGTTTCCTCTAACTTGATAACTTGATGGAATCCGCCTTCATGGACAGTGCGGCACAGTTCACGTCCTAATGATTTCGACGATCTTTGTTCGTGCCAGTTCAAAGACGTCTTGCATGTCTGTCATGCGCATGAACCACTGGCAACATGTCTGACGAGCACGGAATACCAAAGGAACTATCTCCGGAGAATAGACATTGAATAATGTAACCCGTCCAGAGTTTCACAAAACTTGAGCTCACACGGAAGCCTCGAGCCGAAATAGCTCAAGAGGATGCTGACCCTTTGTTGACTCGGAATTACAAGCTAGAGAACAATCTACCTAGCTGTTCTCTTGATGAATTCAAAAAGAAGTAGGTCTATATTTGGCTTACTGCATAAGCAGATCATAAGACTATTACATTTCAGGTCTCCTAACGGAAGTGGTCATCGAGGCCCAATGTCTGGAACGATGTGCAAATACCTTTCGAGTCGCTCATCGTGACAAAGGCGAAATGCAAACTCGATCTTGACCGGAGAATGACTGTAGAAAACAGCACAACAAGGATCCGCAGGCGAGTCCTGTCTCAGCATCGAAGAATTCCATTTATCCTTACGTTCCAGGGAGTACTCAGATGGCATCCATCCGGGACCATTTGACAAGTTCTTAGCTGGATACAGCGCCAAGGGTGTTACAGCCTCTACAAGCTGAATTATCGTTTCCTTGATATCAGGTGCATGCTCAAGCTGTGGAAGGTGCTTATCCACAGTAGATGATAGCCTTCATGCCGCCCATCGATTTCACTTGGGTTAAGATGCCTGGGCAGATTCGATATCCCTATCTCTTGCCGTCGTTGCCGAACTTCTTTCAGCCCTACGCGTCAATGAATCCCCTCTGCGGGGAACCAAGAATCCGTTTTGAGGCTTCAGATCAGATTTCAGCAAATCAGCATTCTCCGTATAAAAACCGGCTCATAATCTGCGACCATGTTGTTAGAATCGTCCAGAAGCTAACGGCTACTAAAGAATGTAGATGCCTAAACGTACCGAGTGTTCCGGAACATTACCCGGAATGGATGGTGCCGGTCAGGCGCTCTTCCCTGCCGTGGAGATCATGTATCCAACATGAGCAGAACAATGTGAGTAATAGAGGATACGAGTAAGCTGAAAATATAAATGTGTGGGCCAAAAGTAAAGGGTTTTGGGATAGCATTGAACAGGCTTGGATATCAATTGAGCACTTGATGACTTCAGTCCATGATCGATCTGCACCGATGTCTGTATCAAGTATGGCGGAGTGGACCCAGTCACGCCCGAGTTAAAGTGCCCTAGGCTAAGGTAGTCTCTGACTACAAGTGGTCCACTCAGGCTCTGATGGATGTTTCGAGTACTAAGGTGACTTTGCAGAAGCGTGGTGATGTGGTTCTTGATGATGATGACGGACACTTACCATCTAAGACAACACAACTGCGCAATAACCCTGATGGGAGCGTATAAGAAGATGATAATCTTAAGGTTCATGTTGTCAAGAAATCAAAACGGCAGACGGTGCATTCCGCTTCTCTGCCCTATGTGTAGTGCCTCGTGCCATGTCCCGCACCGTCAAGATCTGCGAGCAAATGGCAGCGATTGACTGTGTGTAGCCTTCTCCACTATCAGCCAGCCCTGACGGCCTTAGTGCCTGGGGTCATTGTTCAAATAATCACACAGGTTTAAGTATCATGATTTGTCCAACTTGCTAGTTATTTCTTATCTAAACTTCAACTTTCCTGTCGTTGGAATCTGTTTCCGGATCTGACTCGTGGTGCCCTCTGGGTTTTATTGTTGTTGACTCAGCTCACCCATACGACTATTCTAGTTCACTAATCAATTGTCCCCGGGTCTTTCGACTGCTGGCCTCAACCATTTTGTTGTATCGGTTGCGGTCGGCGCTCAGCGAGTTCCCTCAACAGTAGATTAATCAATTGATGTACCACCGTCACTCAGCTCCTCCCCCCCCGGGTCGGTCTGGTGGCTACCCCCCTCCGCAGCAGCAGTGGCCTCCTCCTCCTCAGCCTTATCAGTAGGTTTCCTTTCACGACCCCATATGCACTGATGCATCCATGATTGACGATTTCCAGATATCCACCGTATCCGCCTCAAGGCCCTCCTCCTGCGCACACATTTCCTCCTCCTACCCATCGCAGTTACCCATCTCCCTACCCCACGCCGCCTCCCCACTCGCCATCTCCGTACCAGTATCCCCAACATGGTGAGTAATCATTCTTCCTACTTGTCAAACCAGAGCGAGTACACACAGAACTAACCCCACGCAGGACACTCGCAGTCATGGAGTGCGCCGAGGCTCCCTCCACGCCCGCCCCTCGAGGCGCAGCAATTCGGCAACGGAGCACCTTCCGACTACCGCTTCCAGTACTCAGCATGCACAGGGCGGCGCAGAGCCCTACTGATTGGAATCAACTATGTCGGACAGCCGAATCAACTTCGCGGATGCATCAACGATGTTACTAACATGTCGGCTTTCCTCCATGAGCGATACGGGTATCGGCGGGAGGACATGGTTATTCTGACCGACGACCAGAAAAACCCGCTGAGCATTCCGACCAAGGCGAATATACTGCGAGCAATGCACTGGCTGGTCAAAGATGCGCAGCCGAACGACTCGCTTTTCCTTCATTTCTCAGGTGGGTGGCTGTGTTTGCAAGGCTGCGAGGCGATAACTGACAAGCCTAGGACATGGCGGGCGAACTCCTGATCTTGATGGTGACGAAGAGGACGGTTAGTTCACTGCTGGCTAAGATTGGGCGAGAATCTGACAGAATCAAGGCTACGACGATGTCATCTACCCCGTCGACTATCGGGTTGCGGGCCACATTGTGGATGATGAAATGCACAACATAATGTTAGTCTCTTTCCTCTGGTTAGTAGCTTGATGCTCACCAACGCAGGGTTCGGCCGTTGCGTCCGGGAGTTCGGTTGACGGTGATATTCGACTCCTGTCATTCCGGGACAGCCCTGGATTTGCCATACGTGTATTCAACTCAGGTTAGACTTAGGCCCTCTGAAGCTCAACGAGCACCATGCTAACCCCTGCAGGGCATCTTGAAAGAACCAAACCTCGCCAAAGAAGCAGCACAGGATTTGTTTAGCGCCATTAGCTCATACGGGAAAGGGGACCTGAGCGGAGTTGCGATGACGGCGATTGGGTTTCTCAAAAAGGCGGCAAAAGGTGACTCGGCACGTCAGCGGACGGTGATGACCAAGACGTCTCCGGCAGATGTGGTCATGTTTTCTGGTTCCAAGGACACGCAGACGTCGTGAGTGCTCTTGATGTCTTTTAATTACGGACCTCGTGTCTTGGGCTGACGGTCTTTTCTAGAGCGGACACATTCCAGGACGGAGAAGCCCGTGGCGCTCTGAGCTGGGCTTTCATCAAGTCCTTGAGACAGTGGCCGAATCAGAGCTATCTGCAGCTACTGAACTCGATTCGAGCAGAGCTCGAGGGGAAATACACACAGAAGCCGCAGCTGAGCTGCAGCCATCCGCTAGGTGGGCTAACTCATGTCGTACAACATATCGGTTTGCGAGCTAACATAGCAACAGATGTGAATCTCCTTTTTGTGATGTGAATGATACTCGGGGATATGAATTATGATTGATGGATGATATGACTGTGACTCTTGATAGCAGGGGTTCCATCGACTTTATTGTATGTGTCTAGCGTTCAAACCAGCTGCGAACCTCAACCAGGATTTCCATCTACATCAAGATGCATGGGTCATGCGTGCGATCGAAGAGCCGGTGACAGGTTGCTTAGATACCCAGCATACAGACCATAACGAAGTGACAGAGATGTAAAAAATGGCTAGATTGGACTCGAATTCCTGAAATGCCTTTTCCTCAGGGGTAGATGGAAGTGACTAGCAGCCCCTGTCTAAAAGTAATGAACGACGACCATGTCCCTTGCCCATTTCCGATCTCTGGTTCCCTGCGAGATTCCGATCACATTTTGGACTTACAAATCTGGTACGTATACGAAGTAGCGCAAGTCCCATTGCCTCTGAAATTCTTAGTAGCACAGTACTGCCTACGTACCTATTCCGATTGGTTAGTGATATGAGGTTGGGAGCTCAGCAGGAGTTGAAGGTGGCTTCGAGTCGCTGGCCAGTTGCTTAATTGACCTTGTCAGTTGAACGATACAATCCACCACAGCCATTATATTTTTACACACTGCCACCGAGGAGTTGTAGCATCCAACCTCCCAGGATCTTTATTCGGTTGAATCAATACTGGCGGAAAAGTAATATTGTGGGCTAGCAGCAATAGCGGAGTGGCTGACAGGCTGACACCATGTTTCACCTGCAAGGTGGCTGATCTCTATTTTTATGATCGGACTTGGCATTGATGCATATGCAGAGTTGCAAACTGAACAATCTGCTCATATCTGGCGAGTATCTACTCCATTCTATTATGCACTTGTTTCGCATGGATATTGGTGGTGGAGCAGCACTTTCACCGTGTTATTATTCCATCCCTTGATTGCACGAAGTCGACAGAAAGTCTCCACAGGTACGGAGGACCTGTGGAACAGCCCGTCGCCATGGCTGCGGACCATGGATGCCGGAGTGCACATACGTACATGTACCTAAGACATGGGTTGAGACTTGAGAATAGACTCAGAGATCAAGACTGAAAGAATTTCGATATTTCACTTTGCTGATGCAGGTCCAATCGCTGCTTCGGATATTTCTGGCAGCGGCGTCAACTGCCGCGTCATCTGGCGCGTTGAACGTTGTCTGAGCAGGCACTCCAATCGGGTCTGTTATCGGGAATCGGCTCGGTTGGTGGCTTAGATCTTCTATTCCGGAGTGTTTACCCAGTATGCGAAGTTATACGCAGTTTCGAGTCTACGTATGCTGTGAGGGGAAGAATCGGAGAGAAGACTGGGGGCAGGAGGGGATGGCTGGAGTACAGTACTCTGCCGTGCGACTGCGCAAACTCGGGCAATGCTGCTGGAGCAGACTCTTGAAAACAAACATGTACGACTTCGGACGTAGGCGGACCGTAGAGACTGGTGACTCCATAGTTCCACTCTTTCCACTTAGCTTCTCTTCTCTCTGAGACCGATGGCCACTTAATACTGCTCGTTCATCCACGTCTCTCCCACCGGGACACGTCCCAGGCAACTGACAGTGAAAGCTGCAACTGGCAAGGAAGCCTGTGTGGTGTTCCCTGAGCAGTCTCTCCAACCACAATCCTCCGTCCTACACTCAAGGACATCAATAACAAGCATTATCGTCGGCATCATCAACATCATCAACACCGCCCATATCTCATAAGCAAAATGTCAACATCCTCCGCAACGGATTCTTCGCGGGATTCGTACCCCGACAGCCCCGTCTCCCTCTCCAGCCGCAACATCAACAACCCCGTCTTCTCATTACCCGTCCCCCAATGTCGCCGAACGCGAAGAGATATCCCCAAAATCCACCGCTACTATTCCACTCCGTTGCGAGCAGACTCGCCCGACTCCACCCCACTGCAGCTGTACGGCCTCGAACAGCGCGAACCCTCCATCTACGAGAAACCGCGCCTCCTCCGCCGCTTCTCGCACGCCCTCGACGACATCAAGGAGGACTTGTCCCTGCAATTGGACCAAAACAACATGGCCAGCAAGATCCGGAGCCGACGCCAGTCGATGCTGATGTTCGATACCGCCGCTGGGTCGTCAGACACAGACGCAGATGGAGCACTACATCCCGATCAGCGTCCCATCACAGCATCTGGCCCGCCGCGCTCGAGACCCCTCTCCATCCTCGCCTTTGATAATTGGACCCCGCCCACGAGAGGGCTGAGTCGCCGACTGTCGACTTTCCGGTTCGGGTCGAGGAGGAAGAGGGCTTCGCCCGCACAGCTCTCGAGCATCTCGCAGCCGAACTTGATCGGGTCGTCGACGAACATGTAGTACTCGGTCTCGGCTTTCAGGCCATTCCATGGGTCCCCGTCCTCGTCCATATATTTCCGTTCGATGCGACCGTGTCCTCCATCGCGACGGCTATTCCAGCCTGCATTTTCGCAACTTTCAACCAATCCCTTTCAGTCTTCGATAAAAGTCTCTTTGGTCAACGCATATATTCATCGTTATCTGCATTAGCTTGGCGTTTGGTGCTGGTGTTGGTGCTGGTATTCAACAATAATAGACTGTCTCTGGCGCTGCATCTCTTTCCTTCTGTCATCAAAATCAAATATATGTACATAGCTTAGTAGTAAGGATATAGCTATATAGCTATAGCTATATCCTCAAGCTTAATCGATCACCTTGGTCTCCCTCCCAAAATTAATGGCATAATGCATGTGATAATTCAGCCACTCAATAACCGCACCAATCACCAAACAATACCCAGGTTTCAGTCCCTTATCAGCTCACACTAAGGTATCTACTAGCGATAGGATAAGCGCTGGTCGGGTGCCCTAGTCAAGCCTCAAGTATGCTCGAGAGTGAAATCTCGCCAATCGCTGCTCGGCTTCTTTATCAATTCTCTTCTGGTATGGAGAGCGGCGGAGCAGATTGGTTCGCTGCCTTGTTTTCTTTTCTTTCGTTGGTGGAAAAACGAGTTTCTGTCTATGCTGGAATTATTTTCTTTATCTTGTTAAGGTATCATTGAGTATGAAGTTCTCGAGGGTAGTCTGCCAGGTTACATTGGCATTCGCATTCAGCCGTGGATTTAACCGAAGGCCTCGGTCTCTACAAAGTACGGGGTACAGGGTAGTCCAAGTGACCCTCCGCAGATCGGTCGCTGTCGAAGCAGAAGTTGATATGAAAGGACGTCTCGTCCCTGAAAAGAATGAGCCTCTTTATTGATGTAGTCAAAGTGAATGGTATATCTGTGTAACTATGTAAGTCTAACGCCAATCCAACCCATCCCGCCGCAGTCCTTGATGTAGGTAACTGTAAACTCCAATAAAATAATATCAGCCCAACTTTGAAATCCCTGTCCTGCCACGCCCGAGCCCGATGTCCTAGACCACCATCTGCCTAATGCACCGCACCCATAGCTGCAAACGAAAGCGACGGCCGCTCCGACCCAGAGCTCTATAGAGTGACGCTCTCCAAATCCCGCAGCACGACAGACATCTGCGCTCGTTTCGCTGCTTCAGCGACGAGACTAAAGTCTCGTAGAAAAGGGGCTGTTGCTAAGGGGCCCCCCGACCCGGTGACCTGGTGGGGGTAGATATCAGCTGCTGGAGGCGGGGGCGCCGTGTTCGCAGACTCGGTGGAAGACGAGGTCTGGTTGTGCTTTTGTTGTGCTTGTTGTTGTTGCTCGCTCGCTCCGAACTGCATCTGGTTTGTACTTGAAGGTAGGATGGTCTGCGGTTGGGCTGCCATCGCTGAGGGTGTGTAGCCTAGTGTGACTGACGAGGACGGTATGGAGGAGTTGGAGCCGTGGGTGTTGCTGTGAGTTATGGAGTGCAGAGTGCGGGCAGAGTTGTCCATGATGGTGGTCAGAATTGAAGATCAAGGCGCCCAAGTTTCGCCGGCGAAGGATGGATAAGGTTGGAGGAGCGGGGTGCAGTGTTGGACTTGACGGTATGGGCTGATTGCGACGGACTGGCTAGTGCGGCAGTGCTGTATTGGTTAGCACTGGTAAATGGCGTGATGGTGGAGGTGATGGTGAAAGTGATGTGAAGTGAAAGAAATCATCGGCCGGTCAATGTCGCAACACGTGGGGGCTTACCCAGATATACCGCGGAATGACGTCCGATAGAAAACTGGAGGAAAAAGTATTTGAACCGGAGATGACGCTGGTATGAACCTGGCCAAGAGATGCCAGTTAGAACGAAGAGAAGAGAGGGTACGTTATTTATGAACTCTAACAAGTCGCTGACTTGGTAGATGCAGTCTATGCTTGATTAAGAGGACTAAACTATGCACAGGATCCACAGCGACTATTGTCGCCCATTTTTGATCATCCGCGTCGATGAGGCGGGTGATTTCTTCTAGAATCTCTGAAGAAAAGAAATGGCGAAAGTTACCCGATATTTATCCGGTACGTATCTCCGCGTATCTGTATGCGGGGTTTCCAGCGCCGCATGCAGGTACCCCTGCGAAATTGCTGTATGGTATCGTATTCAAGGGAAGCCTCGGCAGCTTTGTGTATATATTATCACGTGATATTATGTGACAAAGACTGCACTAGTCTAATTATGGAAATTACCCCACCATCACCGATGGAGAATTTATCACTGATAGCGAAATTGTTGCGATTGGGCTGCGCCATGTGATGTCCTCTTGCAATTGCTTCATTTCATCCATTTCCCCCGAAACTCAATTGCACAATGGCAAATGAAGAAGATTTCGTGGGATTAGGGGACACCTTCAAGGACCCCGAAGGGTTCTACCCTCCTGAGAAAGAGCCCACCTTCGCAGAGCACCAGATGCTCACCGGCCAGACGGTGCGCGTGCGCCTTGTCGGCAGCCATCCTCTCTACGTACGAACACGCTGAACATCCCAATACTCTCCCTTTGAATTGTTCATACCTCAATCCTCTGCTTTCGCCGACTGACAGTCTTTGGAGGGTGATCTGCTGTGGAACGCCGGCCGGACGAGCGCCTCATATATAGAAGAGAAAGCTAGTTCCCTTGTCGAGGGGAAAGATGTCTTGGAGATTGGAGCTGCGGCAGGTGTCCCGAGCATCGTCAGTGCAGTCAAAGGAGCTCGTACCGTCGTCATGACCGATTACCCTGATCCGGACCTGGTCGAGAACATGCGATACAATGCCTCGCTCTCGGCGGCTATCATTCCGAGCTCATCGTCCCTTTACGTTGATGGATACAAATGGGGTGATCCGATTGAACCGTTGACGGCGTATCTCCCCGAGGGCTCAAACAGTTTCGACCTTCTCATCATGGCCGACGTGGTGTACAGTTATCACGAGCATCCCAATCTGATCAAGGTCATGCAGAAGGCACTGAAGAAATCCAAGGACTCCGTCGCTTTGGTAGTCTTTACACCTTACCAGCCCTGGCTTCTTCCCAGGAACCAGACTTTCTTTCCTTTGGCAGAGCAGAGCGGGTTTCAGGTCACCAAGATCTTCGAAAAGGTCATGGATAAGGTCTTGTTTGAGAACGACCCTGGTGTAGGTTTGACCTTCTCTCTCATAATGCGTTTGCTGACAAGGCTGCAGGACGAATTACTTCGTAGGACGGTATTCGGATATGAGATTCGGTGGGCTCCGGATCAACTGAATTGACAGTGGGTGTGAAGACTAAAAAGTGTATATACCTGGGCGATTAATGACCTTGACGAACCCATACCCGTAGATTGATCGGCTTAGTGGCATGCAAGCAATCTTATCTACATTTAAATTGATCAATAGAATCTAGAATGCTCTTGTACTCTTAAGTGATCGTATCCACATTTCTTTGTAGACGTTGTGAGGTCTACGGCCATCAACTCGAGCAGCCAGAAACATCAGATTCCCAAGTCACATGCCGCCCGCAGTAGCCCCGCGAAGAAAAAGTCTCCGCCAAACACAGCATCACATCCTCATCCACTGTTGTTATAATGCCGGTAAGTCTTATTGCTCTAGGGTTTCAATATGTTTATCAAATGGAGCTAGTACTAAAGGAATGACAGCTCATCGTCCTCTCAGGCTATCCCTGCTCCGGTCTCTCGTACCGCGCCCAACAGCTCGCCTCGCTCCTCGAGGCGACGCAAGATGAACTCTTCAAATCCGGCACTATCCCCGCCTCGAGACCCCGATACAAGATACACATCGTCCCGACGCATGATCCTTCACATCCACGTACCGTATATGACAATGCGAGGACGGAAAAGGAGGCGCGCGGAGTCGCATATACGCGGGCCAAGCGGGCTTTGGGCCGGGATAGTTTCGTGATTCTTGATGGGATGAATTACATCAAGGGGTACAGGTATCAGCTTTGGTGTGAGGCGAAGGCGTTAGGGACGACTTCTTGTGTCGTAAGTTTACAATTTAACTCCGGTCTTTGGGCGGAGGCTGATTTGGGATGTTGTAGGTACACGTCGGGACACCTGTCGATCAATGCATCGCGAACAACGAAGCCAGGATACGTCGTCGGGACGCACAACAGGAGAAGTCGGAATCGCGCGACAACGAGCCAAGGGAATCATCGACAACAGAATCGGACCCACAAGTCGAAGCAGAAAGCACCACGCAGACCAACGGCCCCTCTCCCACCACCGAAGACACCGAAGAACCATACCCCCCGGACCTGCTCAAGAACCTCATCTTCCGCTACGAAGAACCCAGCACCCACAGTCGCTGGGACAAACCCCTCTTCACCGTCCCCTGGAGCGACCCTGAACCCCCCATCGCCGAGATCTGGACCGCCCTAACCGGCATCCCGCACCCATCCACCTCCACCGACGCCGAAACCCCCGTCACAACGCTCACAAGTGCCCTCGCATCCAGCGCTCTTCTCTCCGACACAGCCAGTATCAACACCTCCGCCACAGCACGCACCCCGCGCACTGCTGCGCTCCAACGCCCAAGGATCAAACCCCACCAGGCAACCGTCCAACCCACCGCAACGGACTCCTCCGCCCTCTACGCCATGGAGAAATGCACCTCCGCTATCGTCTCCGCAATCCGCTCCTACACACTCACAAACCCCTCCGCCGAGGCAGCGCTAGCCCAGAGTCCTGACGCCCGCGGCATTGCAATCGCCGTTCCCGAGGCGTCGGCGCCTATCTTCATCCCGGCGCACGTGGCCTCGTCGGGTACGACGGATGAGCTTGCCGGTGCAGGCGGCATCCTTGCTTTACCGCGTCTGCAGCGTCTGCGCAGGCAGTGGATCGGACTGAATCGGGCGTATGTTGGGGTGAACCATGCGTCGGGGGTCAAGGGCGGGCTGGCGCCTGACCAGGTAGGAGATGCGTTTGTGAGATTCCTGAATGCGGAATTTGCGGGGGAGAGCGGAGTTTAAAAGCTGAAATCGTTTCTCTTCAAAATTGTGCGCGGTTTGATTCTGGGTAGTTCATCCCCATTGCATAGCTTGTTGGCTTTGATCCATCGAAAAATTGTTTTAGTTGCATGATATTGTAACGAGTGATGATCTGGATAGAGAGATAGACAGTATATCATTGTCATTCTGAACTGACTACTTATTTCTAATCAATTGAAGAGGATAATATAAATAAAAGTATTGTCATATTGAATTTTGATTCAAAGAGTTTAACCACATCGAAATCAAAGCAAAAACCAAGATCAAAACAAACAGAAAACTGTAAACAAAAAAGTCTAACCTAAGTAACCGAAAATCTGAAGAATGTTTCATACACAAAAGCCTGCCCGACTTTTATTTTGTCAAGACCAGCCATCGAAAGGGCTGGGCAGCAGAGAGCCCACCCCATCACCAGCAATACAAAAAGTTGTTATACAAAAAAAACGAGGGAATCCAAATACCCCTGTAAGGAAAGTTAGGAAGGAAATAAGGACGCGAGGAGGGTCTGTCTCTCCCCCGATGACCTTGGTCATCTTCGGCTCTGGCTTCCGAAGAAGCTGGCCATTGGGCTTGTGGCGAGACAGCCGCGCGTCAAGCAAATTTGACACTGCGGTCTACTGGCCCGATACGGGTCCAGTAGTTTGTTCAAAGAAAGAGCTCTCAAAGCAAGACGCACCGATACCGATTGGAGGTATGAGGAGCACTGCGAAAACTCTTGAGCATGGAAGAAATCCTTGGGACACAAACAGCAAATCCAATGGCCAGAGTGGAAAGCTTTCCGGGACGTGTCTGTGATTTTTCCATGCGTGGGACCTGCCTCCCGGGCACGGAGGGTCAAGATAGACCACTGATCTCCGACAAGGAGCCCTAAGAGGGGAAGAAGTCAAAAAAGAAGGAACTCAGATCCAGGAGAGTATTCATGCGGGAAGTCCGTTGGGAAGGGAAGAAGTCTGGCTGGCTTCGATGTGACGGTAGTTCAGACCCAGAGTGATCAATTCCTGAAGGCTGGCATTGACCTTGTCGTGCATGGGGGAATCCTGAGGGGTGATATTGCTGAGTTCCTCGAGCAAGCGCGCGCGGCAGTTGTAGTAGTTCCGCTCGGCGTTCTGCAGCCTCTGGTTGTGGTGGCTTGCGGTTTGCTGGAGAGCCTTCAAGGTGCTGTTTTGAGAGTGCGTTGATCTGGTCCGCTTCATTGTCTGCGCACCAGATGCACCAGTGACTCTCCGCTTGCGTCCGCTTGCCTCCTTCTTCTTAGGAGCAGAAACGCCAGAGGGAGAGTGTTCCGGAGAGCTAGGTCTCTCGGAAGAGGCGTAGTCGTGAACACGACGCATGTGGTCGAAGAGGTTCCATCTACGGGGGAATCCATATCCAGGGACGGATCTGTCGCATCCTTCGAACAGGCAGAGGTGAGGGTTGTCACCGTGACCGTGGAATCCATGGGCCTCGCGCTCGTGACGGAACAGACAGGCATTGGATGAGAACTGCAGCTGAGCCTCCATGCAGGCAGGGACCTTGCAACGGTAAGGCTTCAGGTGGGAATCAAGGTATTTGCTGGCAGGTTTATCAGCGATTTGAACCCTATAACGTAATAGCCGGTTATACTCACTGGTAAGCGCATTTCTGCGTAGTCGGGGGGTGATTGCAAGGCTTCTCTCCGTTGGCGAAGGGGCAGTAATACTTTCCATCACTGTGGGTGGGGTAGGAATAATATGGGTGGTCGCGAGGGTTCCGCAACTCCGTGTTCTCCTTGGACCGCTGCCGAGAGGGTTCTCTGGCAGGGAGGGGTGGGAAGAATTCCTGTTCCTGCTTGACCTGGGCCTGGGATGATGGTGATGATGTCTGCAAGCCAGGTCTGCGAGCATTTTTGGTAGGCCTGATAGTTCTGCAAACGAATCAATATTTGCGACATATCAAACATCATGCAGAAGTACTCACCTGTTTGGGTCCTGCTCACTAAGAGGCGGCGTGAGAGGGAAGAGAGGATCTCCCAAGTTGATTCCGTGGTTCCCAAGTGGCGTGGCAGTGACATCCTTCAACATGGCTTCTTCGTGGGTCATAAAAGCTGGGTATCCTGAGTGGGAGCAAGAGGTGGTCACGGAAATATCATTGCTTGCTTCGGTCAAAGGCGGAGAAACAGGCAGTGGCTGGAAAAGGTTGCTTGGGAGGTGGTCCATGGAAGAAGGGTGGTAGTTTCTGGTGTCTGCTAGAATGGAGTTCCATTCATTGGTGGTGACCATGTGGCAATCTTCAGCATGAGAATTGTGTCCAACGGAAAGAGCATCATCAGGAGTGCAGGGCTGGGTTCCATTCTGGCCACAGGTATCATTATCATATGCGGCAAAATCCACAAGGGAAGAATAATGACTGAAGTCATGTGCGTGAGAGAAGTCCAGGTCATTATGGTCCCCAATATCCTGGAAATCGGATCCTGATTGGTAGATAACATCGCTTGGTCCAACGGTGGTAGGCAAAAGCTGCTGAGACAAAGAGAAAGAAAGCAGTTGCACCTCAGGAGTTTCAGGTTTGCTCGATGAGATAACACTGTGGTCAAATGCATCGGCATCATGCAAAGCCCATTTCAGGTCGTGAGGAGTTCCATGGCCATGATGTGTACTGGAGCACAATGAGAAGTTATCCTGGCTTGAGAGTTCATCATCCTGGATCATTCTGGGGGCCATATTTGAGATTCCTTGGGTCTGTCTGGTCTGAGAGAGCTGGTCCATGTTTTGCAAAGCTGACTGGGACAGAGAAACCCGCTCGGGGTCATTCTTGACACTGCAAGACATTGTATTTTATAGGCCCAGCTATGACTGGAAAGCAATCAAAGACAAGCACTAGACTGAAAGACGATTGAAGTCAGTAATCCACTTTCATTCATAAACGTTATAGTATAACACATTGCAGATAAAATAGAAATCGAGAGTCCATCCTAAAAGATCCAGTCGATGTCCTGAAGCGCCAGTTTAGCCGTTTTGCAGATGTTGCTTGGAAGTTGGCCGTAAAAGATCGTCAGAACAAAGAGCACCTGGTAAGGGTCGATGGCGAGTCCACTTAGACGAAAGTCGTTGTTCCGGCGTGATGATCATGGTCACCGAGAAGAGTGAAAAGCTCGACGGCTGCAAAGTCAAAGGAATGACGTTTAGCTAATGCTACACGTCGTCGGATCTATCCTGCGGGAGGCCTGTTCATGTTGGTGTTGTTATCCAGAGGAAGTCTTTGTTGTTGAGACTACAATGAACTGAGAGCGGTAAATCCATAGTTCAGGTAAATTGATGGTCCCATGAAGGTCGACTCTGAGAGTATGTGATTCCTTAGGCACTATTCAAGAGATCCAGAGGGCCAGCGAAGAACGGAGTTCATAAGCATCATTTCAAGTCATCCCAGGCAGGTCAGGTAAAGTCCAGTGAAGTTCTCCAAGGCAAAGATGAAGGCTCCGAGGTCAACTCAAAATCCAAGTCTCGCTCCAGGATTGAAGTGAGAAGTCCATAGTAGGGCAAAGCAAAACGACGAAGGCCATAATAAGTGATGTGCAAGTGTGCAACATTAAGCAACACTTGAGTGTCCAGTCTGACAGCGGCTGCTGTAGACGTTTGTAGTCCACTGGGAGTCATTATTCAAAAGACTGTCATGTGACAGTGAAATCCAGCAAGGGAAGTAAGTCCGGGAGTCCAGGTAGTCCAAGTCGGCGAGGCATGTAGTTGTGAAAGCGGTCCAGATTTGTCGCAGAATGGCCAGGTCAAAGTGGGAAGAAAGAAAAGGAAATAAAGAAAAAGGGAACAACAAGGAAACAATTGAGGGGTCTACCTGTTATCTGTCGATGATTTGTTCAGACAAAAGCCTGGGGAGTATGGACAAAAACAGAAACAACAGTGAAAGCAGATCCTATCCGGGCGGTGGTATGTATTCCAAAAGGCAGTCTGGGTTGTTTGAAGCCAGGGTAATGGTTTTCTTCTTTCCAAGATCCAGGGTTTGGAAGCTTGCGCAGTATCGGAGAAGAACGACAAAACAATTCAAGCCTTCAAAGCGAGATTGGCAGTATGGTATGAACTAGGTACTGATTTTAAGAGTCGATTTGACAGCGAATCAGAGAGAAGAGATGCAGATTCTTGAAAGCCTGGGGTATCAAAATGGAAGTCGGCTGCCAAGTCTGAAGCTGAAAATGAGGATGATGAGATCAGAAAAGAGAAGATCAAGACATTTCGGCTCGAGGGGGGATCAACGGCCTTTTTAGACCTCATCCTGTTCGGGATTCAGGAGACGCGATCAGGAGAGGGGCAAGCAAAGTGGGCAAAAGCACGAAAATGACCGTCCAAGCGTGCGGCCGGCCTGGGATCGTGCAGCAGCCAACTGCCTCACTGGGACTATCAAGGTCGATGATTCGATCCTGCAAGAAGAGGGCGGTGATTTCGGATGCAGCTGGCGCAGCGCCAAGTGGTGACGACGGTAGTGCCATCTGCCAATAGTTCCCCCTTTCTGCTGTCAATCATTGCGGTTTTTTGACGTGGCAGAGACAATCGGTCTCCAAAAGTGGATGTATCATATTCATTTCCCACTTAATCGTCGTTATTTCGGAGTAATTTTGGCATTATTATTATTGGGATATTCGGAAATTCAATATGTAGCGGTGAAGCGGAAGTTTAAAAGGCCTGACTCCATTTGCGATGGCTGTTTCTATTGGCCATGTGCCAGTGTGAGGGCTGTGGACTTGCATCATCCTCCGATTCCTTCTCGAACAAACATGACGCACTACGGAGTCGATTGGATGAGAGCGTCTCCCGCCATTTATCTCGTGCAGGGCGAGATTGCGGAAGCCTTCCAAGATATCCCTCAATCTACCTCACATAGAGCAGAACATCATAGAATTCATATGGTGCGACTCATGCAAGAGGGCGAGTCAGATCCAGCGACAAGGTCACAAGGCTACAAGCGAGAGGATACGGCATTGTGAATAGTCACTGATGCCGTCCCTGAATGGCCCACAACCAGTGAACGGCGGCTGATGGAACACGCTGATCAGCCAGACAATCGGCTGCTCCTTTACTCTTGTGCCCCGCTTTCCCTCGTGAACATCGCCGAAATGTCAGAAACTCATCGTTTGGATGAGATGGCAACACGTCAAATTCTCCTACGCATCGGGGAACTAGGATACATCTTCCTCTGCAGGTAACCAGGAGGTAGCTGGCAGTTTCACCCCTCCTGCAGCCTCACTATGTGCAGTCATTTGCTGCTGATGCTGCTCAGCCTGCGAAGAAACATCAAAACCGCTGTCAGAGAGCGCAAACAGGATATTGGAAGGGGTGAGCAGAGCGCATTTATCTACGACCGTGCATCGTCGGTTTAGAGAATCCACTTCCTACTGGTTTGGGCTGCAGCGTAATCCGTCTAGGTTGGGCAGCAATGCATGAGGGGACTGAAGTCGGAGGAAGCCTAGCCCTTCATTTTTATCTACGTTTTTTTTTTTTTTTTTTTTCTGTATTCTTCGCACCTGTTGACGAGAATTATTAGCAACTCATCAAAAAATCAATCCTCTCTTGAGAAACATGAACTGTATGAGCAGCGCAGACGGGAGATTTATCAGATAGGGGTGAAAGATGGTAGAAGGTTGTCGTTCAGCAATCCGAAGATTTCAGTTGAACTATGCTTATTGGTAATGGTGATCATCATATCAAGGACACAATAGGTCCTTGCATCATCCCGTCCGGCTCAGACTGAGGGAGAACATAGTGGGGCAATTTCGAGACAATTCTCATGACAAGAAAAATTGGTTTCTGAAAACAATATAAAAAAAAGGGAAAAAAAAAAGTGCTTACCTTGTGTGCTGAGTTGTCAGAAGGCAGGCACCGATATGACCCGATCTCTGAGCAATGTAAGTACGAACGACTGTGCCTGCATCAAGGCACAGGCCGAGTAGCTATACGGCAAAATCTTGTCGCCATCAATTGGACCGGTAGATGCCACAAGCGTTTTTGAGATTGTTGAGGTTGATGTTGGACCATGTACGGAGTAAGAAGGGAACTTTCTTTGCTCTGTGCGAAGACACGGTTTTGAAGCGAAGTATCACGTGATAATTTGCACTGTTTGCTTTGCCCTCTATTAACTAATCCCGACCTCCATAAGCTTCCGAAACATAGAACCCGGTGGCTTTGTGCCATGCGACCTTGGTTCTCGTACTGTTCAAGACCGTCTTCCGGGACGGCCCGCTCCTTCGAAGGATTTCTTTGGGCGAGCCCGCCGAAGACGGAAACTTACGGAGCATAACCTTGGGAAGCCCTACAGAAAGCTTAACGGCAGAGATAAGACGTTTTGTTCTTACAAAGATACTTGCCCGATAGAAAGAGTCAGGTACAAACCTTCTCCTCCAGCTCAACTTCCGTACAGGCGATGGAGTCTTTCCTGCACGTAATAGCCTGACCATCCATCTGGGACCGACGACGACTGAGGATGAGCTTCAGAGCCCCTTACTTAGTGCTCAAACTCCCGTCATAGAGTCGCGATGGATCAATTCCATTAAGCTTCCGCTTCGCTGCAAGTCATTTGGGCAACAATTGCACCGAAGCAAAGGGTGCGTTTTTGACTTGCACGATTGCTGAAGGTCATGACATGCAGCTGCTGCAACAGTCCCGCGATGTCACTGCAATTTGGGGACTATCCACTTAGACCTCCACCCTAAAGATAAAGGGTAGAGTCGTTGCAGTTTGTCCCCTTGAACAATTTATAGTCTGCTCGTAGTCAGCTACCAATGTAACTGTTACCGCATACTTGAATAAGATCACTCTGGCAGAATGATATTGGGACCTCTAAAGGGCATGTTGAATTGCCTTCCGCTATCACATGACGGTCTGAGGATTTGGCACACCCTCAGGACACTTACACAGAGCATCTACAATCATCTCTGACCGTCGTCTGCTCATCTACTTGCCATATATTGCAATGAACTGGACGGGAGGTCGGTTGCAACGGCATTCGAACAATCGCTCCAGCAATCTCGCTAGAAATCAGAAGCAGAAGTTCGCAAAATCAAGACTGAGGAGCACAAAAGATTCTCGACAGGCTCCATCGCCCCTTGAATTCGCCAAATTTGGAACAACACTTCAGGCAAAGTCCACTGGAGACGAGACTCAGAGGCATGGATTGGCTAGTCAGGTAGGATTATTGCTCCACGAACCTGGCGACTGTGTGGCTCCATGGCGGGTGGGAGAATGGCCATCCTCTGGATCTGCAGCTAAACTGTGTATTCCAAATAGACTACGGCCAATCCCTCCCTGTCACGGTTGGCTGGGGATTCCTCAGTCTGTTCTGAGCAAGTGAATAACTCACAGCCGCACAATCGCATAGAACATATCAAGCGTCAATTACTAGAAACAACAGACTGGGCTGCTGTCGGAGCTGCACGGCCTCTCAAGATCTCGTTCACACCAGTCGAAGAGGTCGAGCAATTTGGCAAAAGACGAAGATTAACCGAGGCCGACCGAACGAGGATAGCTGCCGTGGAACACAGGGCTGTGCCATCCGAATTTACCAAGTCTCGCAGGGCTCCTCGACAGAACATAACGTCGGATCGACTTGGGATTGAAGGTTTAGAGATTAAGATAAATGGACGGCGGTGCCATGCTGGCGAAGACATTCTCAAAGAGCGTCACGAGAACCTTTCCTCGCAACCAATGCTCCTTGATAGAGATGTATCAGTCCGTCCCGACCAAGGCTCGGATCCGTCAGTACAGCCATACAGTGACGCCAAGGCATGGAGCGCAAGGGAAGACTCGGTTGACAGATCATTATATTGTCAGAAGAAATCAGAAGATCCTAAGTCGTCTATACATTCTATGACCACCCCACGTTCTCGCCTCTCTGAAGCTGCCATCCCGGATCGGATAACATCCAGCAGGAACCACAGTAGGCTGATCCAAACAACCGGGTTTCTGAGTCAGGATTTTGGAGCGTCAATCTCGACGCCCTGGAGGCACCATGACAGCAACAGAGTCCACCAGTCATCCGGGTCAATCATCCAAAATCGCTTCACAATTGACGATCAGATAGCTGCCGAGAAGGGAAGGTGCTCGAACGATGAGATAATGGTAATGACACGTCCAGATCGCCATCGAGGCCCGCAGCTTGAACGGCGTCCGTTTACACAGTCCTCAAAATACTCACTCTCCCTCGATCAATCATTCGGTCATCATGAACATGAACGTGCAGCGGCAGTCACGCGGTCACCATCTGGATGGCTTCCAGAGCCGAGGTGCAGTATACGACGGCCATTGAGCCAGAAAGTCAACCCTCTTTATCCGTTGGGACCAGTTATTCAGAAAGACACTCCTTGTGAAGATTCAAGGACTAGACAGTATGCATCACCGATGGTGATATTCGGCCAACCTATAGATGTTGCAGGGGATCAGGCAAGTAATGGAGCAACAAACTGGATGTCGACGCCATGGAACTCTGCAGTCAAGGAATCGAAAATTACTTCGTTAACTGAGGACAGTCACGCGACATCGATCTTTGGATTTGCCAGCCAAAGTCCGGACAATCCAACGGACACCCAAGGCTCCTCACGGGTCAGTCACAGTCACACGGGTATTGGTGATGATGGACGAATCAATATAGTCGATAGCATTTACATTAGGACTCCAATTTTTAGCAACAGCAACCCTGGATCAGTGCGCAGCTTTTCTGTAGCCCGTGCTGAAAGAAATGCAACACCAACCGACTCAAGGCGTTTTTCAGAAATCGAAGGTTGTACTCCGGGACACAATGAGCACAGGACTCAAATAGAACTATAGCCCAGAATATTCGGGCAGAAAATGACAGAAATGTCGTAACCCCTTTACTCCTCTCGTCCTCGCCTGATCCTCTGTTGTTCATGCGGAGATCTCTGATATATATGTGTATCCCAGGTCAGTTGGGTGACTTGAACAGCGCGACTCTGCACCTACTGTCAGTACAAACAGACTATATACTATAGGGATATATCAATAGAATCAGTAATAACATGGTAATCGCGTTAAGCCTGGTTATCTCGTACAAAGACGAGAAATAGCTGGTCACATGCGCGCTGAATTAGCCCTGCACTCCTGCCCTACTTTGCCCTTTTCGGGTGATAAGACCGTAACGTGACCGATAGCGGACAGTTCTCATTGCTGCCTCAGCTTCCAACAACCTCATCACTACACAGGATAGCCATCATCATATTGCCTTTTTTTTTTATCAAGAGACTATAGGCAGGAAATCACTCGATCAAACTGAGAACACATACACACATACCGATGCACTACCTAACGACCCTCCTCCCCCTCACCCTCCCCATCCTCTCCGCAGCATCTCCCCTCCGCCCCCATGAAACAGAACTCACCCCCCTCCCGCTAGTTATCTGGCACGGCCTCGGCGACGACTTCCAGCGCGACGGCATGAAAGAAGTCGCCGCGCTCGCCGAGTCCACAAACCCCGGAACCTACGTCCACCTCATCCACCTCGGCGACACCGCCAGCGCCGACCGCCAGGCCACCTTCCTCGGCAACCTCACCGAGCAAATCGCGCTCGTCTGCGACCAGCTGCGCGCGGATCCAATCCTCTCCACTGCTCCCGCCGTCAACGCATTGGGCTTCTCGCAAGGCGGGCAGTTCCTGCGCGGGTACGTCGAGCGGTGCAACGACCCACCCGTCCGCAACCTCGTCACCTTCGGCAGCCAGCACAACGGGATCGCCGAGTTCCAAGAGTGCGCGTGGAGCGACTGGATCTGCCGAGGGGCGGAGGCACTGCTGCGCGCGGGCCGGTGGTCGAGCCTCGCGCAGTCGCGGTTCGTGCCGGCTCAGTACTTCCGCGATCCGGAGGAGCTGGACGCGTACCTCGAGCATAGCAATTTCCTTGCAGACATAAACAACGAGCGCGTGCTGAAGAATGAGAGGTATGCGGAGAACCTGGCGAAGTTGAATCGCTTTGCGATGTATATGTTTGAGGATGATACCATGGTGAATCCGAAGGAGAGTGCGTGGTTTGCGGAGGTGAATAGGACGACTGGCGAGGTGACGCCGCTTAAGGAGAGGCGGTTGTATAAGGAGGATTGGCTGGGGTTGAAAGCGCTTGATGAACAGGGGAAGCTGGACTTTAGGACTGTTCCGGGCGGTCATATGCAGCTAGCTGAGGAGACCCTGGAGAAGGTCTTCAAGGAGTATTTTGGGCCGGTCGAGGTGGAGCTTCCTCCGGATAATACTCTTCTCAAGCAGACTGGCTTGTAGACTGAGCGGCTTACCATATGCTCTATTCTATTGCTTTGAATCAATCGCGTTGTCGTGTCTGCGTAGCATCGATATTTGTCGTTATATATACCCAGATTTCCCTGAGACTTGCTCACTTAAATCATTCAAGACTTGCAAATATGTCTATTTCCCAATAAATCTACATACACACAAATGCCATCCCGCCTATTCACATGAGACAATAACTGGGACGGCTGAGCTACCCAACCATGGTATGTTCTGTGATCCGGCGCTGAAAGAACAAGGAGAAGAACAAAAGGGATGGGGTACTCGAAGCCAGTGAATTCTATGAGCGAATATCAATACATGATACACCAATGTGCCATAACGGAGCCAAGATAGACTAGACAGATCTCCTAGTAGATTAATGAAAGGTGACGAGAGAAAAATTTTGGACAAAGGAAGTGTTACGGCAATGGAGTTCGGAGAATCAGAGAAAGGTATAAGATTATATGCATGCTAGTCGGCATAGTAGAGGAGGGAATGGGGCCTGCCGAGGGGCCCGAACGCGAAGATAAGGAGTAGAAGGGTTGTGCACGAGGATTGATAGTCATCATGTTGAATGAACTAGGAGGCCTAATAAGGAGGACGTCCGATTCCTCCAGTCGCCCTCCTTCTGCCAGCGTGCGTGCTGCTGGCCCTGCGGCCAGAGGCATTGGTACCGCTGCGCCTCGACTCGGCATCCATTGGCGATAGAAATCCGTTAATGAGGTTCTGCACGTCACGACGCAAGGCTGCGTCGGGAGGATCTCCCTCAGCCTTGTCGGAATTAGCTGCGGCCGCAAGGCCAGTGCTGGAACGGCTCTTGTGTCGGCTCAGGGTTCTCTCGTTATCCGCAGAGAATGTCCCTTGGTTCCCGTTGGTGAAAACCTGACGGGGCCCCGGAGCGGTCGAGGGTCGCTCGCCATTCGCCAACGAACGCTGAGCGTCGTTCGAAAACCCTCCGGGGAGACTTATAGATGGCGGGATCGGCGGCACCGGAGGGATGCCATCAGACCGCAAGTTGTACGACAATGAAGACTGCCGAGACTGGCCGCCGTTCACACCAATAGAAGAGGCTTTAGGTGTTTCCATGCCGTCACCGTTGGCCGACAATCGACCATCCCGAATGGACTGTGGTCTGATTGAGTTGCCATCCGCATCATGTTCAGACAACGAAAAGCCACTGACCATGCTCTCACTACTCGAGGAGACAATACTGCCATTCGAAGCATCCAGCCGCCCGCGGAGTGGGCTCAACCGGCGAGCATTACCCTCCACATTCACAGAAAGAACCCGTCTCAGTTCGTTGACACGCACTGGTGACTCTCTGCCCGAGCCATTGACAGGTGGACCCTGCGAGTCAGGTATGCTCGTGCGCCGGAGATGTTGCAGACCTGCTGCAGCACCGAATGCGCTCTGATGCGCGGAGGTAGCGATGGAATGAGAGCTATTACCAGCGCCATTTAAGGTGGCGTAATTACGCAACCCTAGTGTACCGTGTTTTGATCCGTTGATAGACATAGCCTCTGCCTTCTCCTTCTCAGCGGCCGCAAGACAAGCCTCTCTGGACCATGGTGAAAGCATTTGCTCTTTGATAGATGACGGTAAATTGCAAGTGACAGAATTAGCAGTCGCGGCTCCATGTCCCAGGACGGGAAGAGCATAGCTGTGTCCGGGTGATACCGGAGGGCTGTGAGCGGGCGAGGTCATGGAGGAATTATATACCTCTTCTATTCTGTTGACAAGTTCCTCAATACCGGCCTTGAAAGGGATAAGCTCGCTTTGCGCCATGATATCGTCGTTGCGCGGAGACTTCTCACGCGATTCGATGATATCGCCGATACGAATGGCAGGCATACGCACTCTGTCGAGCCAAAGGCCATTTTGTTTCCGCCTGTCAATCTCTATCCTGATTTCGTTGCCAACTCTATAGCTTTCCAACTCAAACTTCTCGCACATTGCCCACAGATATCCATGGACCAAGCTTCCGATATTGACCTTGGCAGTTGGAGAACGCAAGGACTGCACCGATGCTAAATCCTCTTGAAGCTTCAGGATCATGGGCAGCCCAAATCTGACGGCATTGACTCCGAGCCGTCCCACAAGGCTTGTGAGAAGGAGATGAAGTAGTAGAATTTCGGATTCGTCTGTAGCGCAGTCGAGCGCAATATCGTATATGGTCAAGTGGAACAGTCGGAGGAAGTTCAACTGAGCCGCTATGATGACTTTCTCTCTCTGACTCACGTTCAAGGGTCGCTTGTCAGCCTTCTCAGTGACTTCGGGCGATTCACGTCTTGGGAGAGTGCCTGTACCCTTCACTGGCCCGGATGTAGCCCTGATATCATCTTGAGTGGTTTCCAACGACAACCATGTGAGGAAGGCATCGATATACGCGTGGCGAGTATCCCTGTCGGATTCACGCAAAAGCCACTGCGTTCCTTCCCAGGCATGTATGCCCACAGGGTTCCTAGTCTCCACTCCAGCGGCTGTGTGTCTGTTCGAATTGGCTACCGAGAGAATATCCTTGATTGCTTTAAGTGCTGTCACTTTTGCAATAGGCAGCGAGAAGGCCGCCGCATTCATCTCTCCAGGGAACCCGGCTGAATTAGTACTACCCTCCGTATTATCTGACTGGTTCGGTAACGCCGTGGCAGGTGAGAGTTTATTGTCGATGGATGGCTTCACGCGAGTCAGGATCGTCCTGACCATATCGACAACCTGATCACCGTAGTAAATATGTGTCGTGAGATCTCCAATAGTCCTCTGAAGTAGCGCAAGCATCTCCAATCTCTCAGGGGACAGAACCACGTCGTGATCGTTCAGCTTCTCGTCCAGTCCTTGTTCCGCAGACCTCGCGCTGGCTGGGCGCGATAACAGAGTTGACATGAATTGCATCAGGCCCAGCAGAACGTCAATAACACTAAGACCGATCATGTTTACAGGGGATTTGAGCAACCAGTCGATCAAGTATATCAGGGCGTGCGAGCGTTGCAGGGTCTCTTCTGTGGGCTGGTCTTCGAGCAACATCTCCATTGCCGAAACCAAAATGATGAAACGGACTTGAACGGGACACCACTTGGCGACGAGTTCCACTAGAGACGTAGCCCAGCCGCCCATCGGATCCATATGCATAGGCTTGCCATCTTCGGATAATGGGCCGTTCCCCAGGATGAATTGCAGCACCACTTTCGTAGTGACGCGAATCTGACCACGGCTACTCCCCGTCACGACTATGCGTTCCAAGCATCGGAGAGCAAGCAAACGCATGTCCATTTCCGCCTGCCTGTCAACGTCGGCCGTAGACTGTGACGCCAATGCAGGATCTCCATCCATTGCGTCAACTGTCTGCACGGTTGCAGTACTAACCCTCCGTCGTCGACCAAGCGCCGGCTCGTTCTTCTCCGACTCGTGCAGTCTGAGCTCGAGGGACACCAACAGGCTATCGTCACCATTGTAAAGACATTCCAGAATGACCGGGAGAAGGATCCTCAGTGAATCTCCGCCGTCCGCCGCGAGACCTGCTTCGGAACTAACAACACCTTTGATCGCTCGCAATCCCGCAGTCCTCCAACGTATTACCATCGGACCGCTCGGTGCAGCCTTCAGTTGAGAAACGGATTTGGTCTGGTCTGCGAAATCTGCATACGTCCGCACGACTTCCCGGTATTGACTGGCGAAATCCTGTTCAGCAGATAGCGCGGCCATATCCTGATGCCGACAGAACGTCTCGAACGTTGATATCGACTCTTCAACCATGGAAAGGTCTCCGGAGCGTAGGACGGTTTCAAGGACGGTCATCACCGATCTGGCATAGATAGGAAGATCGCGGGGAACTTTCTCGATGAGCGCCGTGAGGATTTGAAGTGTTACCTGTACATTCCTATGTAGAATACCCATGTCAGCCAGGGGAATTTGCGACCGCGACGGTTGACAACTGCCGGCAGGCTCGCTTCAAACTCACCCTAACTTGTTACGCCAGACATCCCGAGCTGCCCTTTTCTCCAGAAAGGCGCCGACCTTGGTCAGCTTGCTCCGGCGCGTGCTCACATAGTAGAGTAGATAAGAGAGTTCACTGGAATTTGGTTTCACATCCTGGACTCCTTTCTGGTATTGTGGGTAGCATTTAAGGACCAAGACCTGGTGTTTAGGCCGACATGATTGGCGCACGCTCTCCATCGAAAATGATGGCTGCAAGATTGAATTGTGAGGTACTTGTATGCCAATACGAGGGCCCGGATCACCGGTTGCCAACAACGCCGTACGCGATCTGGAGGAGTGAAAACAGTGGCCACTACCTAGAGATTAATCTTCCAAATATAGCTGGATAAGTAATATGCCCTCTTCTATGTCATGGATATGCGAATCGGCGGATCGGGGAGGGACGAGGTCACTGCACTGCTCTCCGCTCAAGTCTACAGAAACCAGTGTGAAGATTGGCAGAAGGGCCGGAGGAGAGAGAAAGGAGATGCGGTCGGTATAAACACCAAACGCGGGGTTAATCCATCGGAGTACACATTCAAGAATTTTGCTTGTGCCTAGGAGCCGCTCTGCAGAAGATATGATGAGAGGAGTGTGAAATCCGAGTGTTGGGGAATGACGCAGGAGGAGTGGGATTGTTACTTGGTGTTTTTCCAGGTTACTTTTGAGAGGTACAGTAGCGTTGGGTCGCGCACGGAGTTAAGGCTGGGGAAAGCTGAATCTTCGCCGTCGGCCGCACCAGCCTCCGTCGCAAGGCGTGCATCAAGATCAATCGAGGTTGAGGTAAGGGATCATAGAATTAGTTAAATGTACTAGGATGAGAATAGCATTACGTCCTTGGTGATAATACTTTTTGACATTTGATGGCATGCTTTACTTGGGCGCAGCTGATCAGACAAGGAGTGACTACGTAACTATCGATGACTGGCTGGTTTGCATAAGAATAAAGACACCATGCAACTCTGGAAACAACGCAAAATCCAAAGATTTAACTTGTTCTTTCTCAACTACATATCTAC